GGAACCAGCATCTATCTCGTTAACTGCTGTGTGGCCAGAGCAGCATGGTGCCTAGGCATGCGGTGGGTGTTTAATAAAAATCTGCTAAATGAATTAGGAAGGAAAGTCAAAAGGAAAATTTACTGAGCCAACGAAACAAAAATATTTTGTTAGGGCATGTGGTCATGCCTCACAATGAGATCCCAGTGTGGTTCTCTGGGAGGGAATGTCACACCAGCTACAGAATTATGGGGCAACAGGGGCACAGGCCCTGGTAATTTTAGTTCATATGCCATGCTAGAGTTTCATTCTGGACTTCAGCATTAAATGTCAAACTCCTCAAATTCACAGGCAAAACAAGCATAAACTTAAGAGATTTCTTGATCTAACTTTGAAGATGAGTTTAAACTTCATTCCACTGATTTTTAAGAAACCATGCCAGGGATATTGGGTCTCAGTTGTAAATATGGACAATTGATTGATCCTAAGATGAATTAAAATGTGCAAGTTTTCTTTCAGACTTAAATATCATATGTAATCCACACACCTTAAGTTCCTACGGAGTGTCAATAGTGCCAATTTTATCACTTCCACAGCAGCCATTCTAAGAGACTGCTTTTCCTAACCTGGATAATATTTCAGGCTCCTGCATCTAAAGGCTCTAGTAGGCAACTGCTCAGTTCCAACCAAATCCTCCCCCATCAGGCATGTAGCTGCCTCTATCTTTAGAAACATTTAACATCACTTAACCCCCAACATCACAGGTGCTACCTCTCATTTTCACTTTAGATGGCTCCTACAAACTGATGGTCATCTCTATTTATACGAGTTTTGAGAAGAGATCAAGTTCATTCTTTTAGGCTGAAAAATAACATGCTCCCTATCTCCCCCGGTTGGTTAATAGATAACCTATTTTGGTGCAAGTATGAAGTAGATCACGAATACAAAGTCTCCAGGCAAGAACGATCAATTCACTAGGTCTATTTTCAGTTCATTAATCTGAACATTTTAATGCTCCTTTCGGTACTGCAGAATTTTTGTTACCTGAATTTTCTGTTCCTGCAGCTCCAGTTTTCTTTTATTAAGGTAAAGCATGACATTTCATGGCCTAGTTATTTTTTAACCATTACAAAGCATACTCTTCCCACTGAGATACTGGGCATTGATTCTCCTGCAGTCTCAAGTCATGGAGCTGGAGGTTCTCTGAAATGTCTCTTAAGCAGTTTTGCAAAATGATCACTAGCATGACCTTTTGGCCCCTTTACATGTATTTATGGCTATCAAATAACTCATACAACTATGTTGGCCTTTTAGTGACCCTGAGTATTGCTTGTTAAGAGAACAGAAAACTTAGAACAGAGATGCATAGGAGGTCTCCTCATATCCCAAATAAACAAGCTTCTTTAGCTACTTTTTCAGCTTGTCTCTCTGTAGCTTCATTTTGCCAAACAGAACAGCAGCAATCATCAAAAGTAAGAAAACATGATTTCCTCCTCTCCTCTCAGTTACTAGGAGGTCAAATATTAGCATAAAATAATCTGAAGTAAGGCACAGGTAATCCATTCAAGGGAGAAATCTGTTTTAGATACACAAAGCCCATAATTCCATTTCTTTTTCCATATACGTTTTACAATCTAAAATATTTATCCTCTTTCTAGTAGTCCTATCTGCAAACGGTATTTTGTCACTTAAATTTGGCTTCCTTAAGCTTAATTCAGCCAAATATTAATAGGGGGGCCTCCCTGCCCCCTTTCTAAGGGAAAAAGTAAAAAAAACCTCTATGTCTTTGGCAGAATAAACCAATGTCTTTGGCAGAATAAACCGAAGTCCTCATAATCACAGTATTCCAGTGTTAGGTGAAGCCTAGGTTTGAAATCATTCTTTTATAACTACATCTCCTTAATTAGGGTCGGGAACTCAACTTCCTTATTTTGCAAATGAGGAAACTAGGGGCCAGAGTAGCAAAATATTAGTTGGAACCTATGTTCTTTGGCTCCCAGACCAATGCTCTTCCAATTACGCTGATTGGTAGACTGTATAGTAATGAAAAACAGGACAAAATATTTCCAATGGTAGTTTTAAGCACTTCATATTAAGGTGTGTGAATCTGACTTAGAGGTATGAATCACTGCTTTGAATCACCCCCAAGGTAAGTTTAAAGTAGGCTTTGACATTTTTTATATTGAGATAAAGTGAGGAACTCAAATCTTCCAACACTGCCCAGATGTACATCCACAAGTCTGAAATTAATACTAACTTTCAATAAAGGCACTTTGGTGGAAAAAAGAATTATGACCAAGCAAAGAACTTCCAGTTTTTATTTTTTAAACATTTAACAAGAAAAACATTCAACCAAATTTTTAAAAATTAGGATGGATTAATTTACAATAAAATAGTCAACTTAGAATATCAGCCCTTTCATTTAGGGCCAAAGAGGCCAAAAGTTCCCATTTAAACAGCAGAATTGCACAATTACTATTTTTACCTATGTTTGATGGCACAGAAATATAAAACTCATACAACTTTCACTGAGATCCTCCCTTCTCTCCAGAGCAGAATTCATACAATTGCTTCTTAGGTCAGTACTCAGGCCCTTAAAAATCACCAGTTATATTCTGAAATATATCTACAACTACTCTGCTAACAAGAACGCTTTTAAAACAATCCTTATAGGAAACACCTTAAAATAATTTTGTGGCACATTAGACTGCATAAAGAAACAGCAAAGATGAAAAATAATGTACAAGAATTATAGTCCCTTGTTTATAGAAAACCACCCAAATAAAATATTCTCCCTAATTATCCTTGCTTCTTATAATTTATTAGCAGAGATGAATTACAAGAAGCAGAATGCACCATATTTTGGTTCTTGGTTGTAGCTGCCAGCTTAAGAGTTCATGACTGAATGTAAAGCAAAGTATGATTATGCTCATAAGTTCTGGAATGGGAAAAAAACCAAAATTTCTCTTTAAAGTGTTTCACTATCCTTGCTTTCAAGTCAAGACAAAAAATTCACAGCAGTTTAAAGGATGATGAAAGACTAAACATGGGGCCCACTGAAATACGTATTGAGAATAATTTTACCTATTACACCCCTAAAGTGAAAATTGTACTAAGTATATACTATTACCAAGTAACATTCTAGTAAGCTGTTGGAGCAAATACAGCACTTAACAGATTAGGCATGGTAGCCTTTAGAAAGAACATCTTATTTTCACACTCTTGAACGTGCAACCTTTAAAAAACAAACAAACATAAAGTAATATGTAATTTATAACAGCTGGCCAGGCACTTAACTTGGGGAAAGAGACTTTCAGATTTTGAGGTAAACTAGAATTGTTTTCAGCAATCACAAACAGATTCTAAAAACCGTATTTTTACCACACCAACTGAAGTTATTCAGCATTTAACTATAAGTTCGTCACTCTATTGTGCCAAAATTCACACCTAAGTGTAACTTCTTAAGAAGCTATTTAAAGAACATTTTCAAGTCTGAATTTTGGCCCCATTTAGATACTTCTGTGCTTAGAACATACTTTAGAAATCTTTAAGGTACATACATACAAGGGCTATGGGCACAAGAGCCAAAAATGAGTATCTTTTTCCTTAATTTGACATTAAAAAGAGTCATGCTGTCAGTCACATAGACAAGAGAAGGAAGAGGAAGACAGCAACATTGACACTGATGACAACTAAGGTGACAAGCCTCAATCTAGCCTCAAGAAAACTACAGAGCAATGCTCCAAAAGGAGCAGAAACAAAGCTGCAGAGTTTCTGTTTACAGGTGCTGACAGTACTGTGAAAGCTCTCTGAATTAACCCTAAGGAGCACAACTCTCTGGGTTTATTATCCTCTGGGCACAGTATGTTTCTTCCCCTCTTCTGAATTCATTTCAAGGCAATGTGGGGTTTGCTTAATAAATGAAAATTCCTATTAGAAGATGGAGGACCTCCATAAATATTTACACATTAGAAGACCAGAAAAGAAAGTGGCCATTTTGGAACTAGTCTTTTATCAGAAGTTATCCAAGTCCATTTTTCATTAGAATTAACAGGATATTATCTGCAAATGGAAAAGCCAAGCCTAAAAATCCTCCTAACAATGAATTATATTTCCCATTCCCTTTTCAAACAGCAATTTCAATCCAAAGGCTACTTCTTGTTCTGAACAAACTCATCAGCTTGTTATCTGGTAGCCACAGACTAACCAACATCTTGTTTTAAACCCTTCAAAGAACATTATGAATAAAGAAACATTTAAAAATTTTGCTCTGAGGCATCCTCATTCTCAAAAACATGAGAAAAAATATTGGCTTAGAGTTCCCATATGGTTAAAACAAGAGTCCAGATGCTTTATTTATGAAGACTTTTAAGCTGACCCCCCCTCAGGATACCAAGTTTTTCCAGTCATGGCAAAGGATTTGTGGCTAACTGACCTCTTCTTTTCTTGCAAGACTAACAGCATGCATCTGGCAAAGCCACTAGCTGGAGTTACTGGAGCAATGAGCAAATGTGGAAGAATTTTTCTTTCTGTGATGCCACCTGGCTCGCTCAAATTCTGAAACTGTGGCCCTGGTCTATTAGCACCATGCTTTCTCAACTGAAATAACCAAGCCACCATTGCTGTAGGGCAAGGAACAGAGGGCAGGGTGAGAAAGGGATTGAGGGCAATTATATACATCATAAGATACCATAATATGAAGTGAAAATGTATCTATTAATATATTATATTTGAGGCTTGAAAATCATTGATCACAGCTATTAAATAAAACGGTATTGAATTTTTACAATTTTGAACACCTGCAAACGTAGAGCTTTCTGATATGACCCAAATTCAAATACAAATGGAAGTTCATTGAACATTAGGTTATCAGTAAGCTAGAAGAAACAAACTACATACATTTTGTAGGTAGTAACCTACCAAAAAAATTGGAGATTAGGTAAAAATTAAATGAAATTATTCATAATTGTTTCCAGTTTCATCTTTCTCTTGAGAGAGCCCAAAAACAGGTCTCTGGAAAACCAACTTCATAAATGTAAGAAACGGCATCTGCTATCATACTGGTGTATCTTTCCCTCCATGGTAGACAGGTCACAGACATATCTAGGACATTCATTTTCATGTATAATGGGTTTTGAGACATCTATTCCACTGAAGTACTGTAAAGGAAGTCTACAAACCATTCTAGGAAAAAGGCACTTCATTGTGAAAGTTAGATTTAATTACATGAAAGTTGAGAAGACTAGGATAGACTCAAAAGTCAGTATTCACTTTTGTATTTATGAATACAGAGCAGATGCCAGTTTATAGAATATAGCCAATAACATTACAAATAAACCAAACAGCAACATTAACTATATTCTCAGCAAAACAGTAATTTATGACATTTCTCCAAAACCCAACACAGTTCCAAGTTCAACAGTAAAAAGAAAAAATATCACCAGCAGTTGCTACTTTAGAGCTCAAGACATTGTTTTGTATAGAATTTCATGTCTATGGTTTGGTTCTCTGTTTCAGAGCATGAATTGCTTCTCAGATGAAAAACGTGGGGTGGTGGAGGTGTATCTGTGTGTGTTAGGGGAGAACCCAGGGTGGAAAAATACTGGGGAATAACAAGAGGTTCATTTCTCTGGTCAGACAACCAAGTGAGGAGGTAGTTATTCTGAGAACTTCTCAGACTGAGAATATTGTACTGATCTACTGAGAGTTGGGGAAGTAGCAGGAGCTTCTTTGTGAGACTAAAGATAGCAACAGGAATCTCTCTCCTCCAGGGAAGTCAGGACCAGGGTGTCAGTGCAGCTGAAATAAAGACAGAATTTGCGTAAGTGGCACATAGAGAGTATAAGAAAAACAAGGTTAAGAAATCAACATGAATGATAATATATTCATTTCCAACTTGTCCTACCTTGACAGTGGCTCTTTTCTGATGCTAGAACTTTCTAAGTATCTATAAGAAAAGAACACACACCATGTCATCATCATCTAGTTTTGATGTAGTGATCCTTCAAAATCCTGGTCAGTGCCAAGAACATGATATATACACATTTCATAAATAATGTCTTCTAATCTCTAGTACTATTGAAAATGTAACGATGTCTGTAAAATAATTCAATGTTTTAAAAATAGTTTAGACCTCAGTACTCTCAGAAAGGGTACCATAAGGAAAATATTTTACAGTTACAAGTGAGCAGAAACTCTCAGTTAAATAGCAATATAGAAAAAATAACAGCAACACTCCTCCAAACTGCTGACGCTAAATAGTAATATCTAAATTATGTCAAGAGACCACATGCTCACCTTGTTACATCACCACACACGGCAACCCCATGCAACCTTGAGTCCCATCATCACTGCTGTTGAGTTTTTTCATTCGGTACTGACGTATTTCTCTCACCAGTGTGTAAAAGGCATCTTCAACACCCTAAAAGAAAGAAAATGATAAAGACAGCTTAATAAACACAATCCAAGTTGTAAGCTCTCCCTCATTTGTACTTCTTTATGTGGATTTAAAATTCCAATTATGAAATTATTAGCTGAAAAAATAGAGTGATTTAGGAAGAGGACACTAAATTTAGCACTCCTATTGACTCACATTAATGGGCTGATATACAAATGGCACATTTTCCAAAAATAACATTCAAGCAAAGGAAAATAGGTAATGTGGGACACACAGTACTACCAGATCCAAAGGTGCCATTCAGGAGGGCTTAAGCCCTAAACAGTGGTTGCAGCTGATGGACAAAGGACTCATGTTTTTTAAGTATCTTTAATCAAGAGTCTTCATTTTAGAAATACTTGTGTATGCTAATGCAGGAGTAAAAATGTCACACCAGAATATTAGTAAGTTCATTTTGGGTTTAAACTGAAGATTAAAAAAATAGAACATTGGGGCCTGCCTGGTGGCACAGTGGTTAAGTGCGCATGTTCCACTTCGGCGGCCCGGGGTTCACCAGTTCGGATCCCAGGTGTGAACATGGCACCACTTGGCACACCATGCTGTGGTAGGCGCCCCACGTATAAAGTAGAGGAAGATGGGCATGGATGTTAGCTCAGGGCCAGTCTTCCTGAGCGAATAGAGGAGGACTGGCAGCAGATGTTAGCTCAGGGCTAATCTTCCTCAAAAAAAAAAAAAAAAAAAAAAGAACATTAATTTAAAAATCCCTAACAACAAAGAATGTGGATCATATCTCTAGCAGAGTCAATTAATCAAACTTTTCTGCCTTAAACAAACCCTTGCCAGATGGTGAAGGCTGTACTATACCTGTCTGGTCTTGGCTGAGGTTTCGATGAACGGAATCCCATAACTCTTAGCCAGTTCATGGGCTTGTTTTGTGTCAACTGTCCTTGTTGGCAAATCACACTTGTTTCCTACTAGCACCATAGGTACATCATCTGAGTCTTTTACTCGCTTAATCTGTTCCCTAAAAAAGGGAATATGTTATCATAACATAAGAAAAAGCTTTTAGGAAGGGATAAACAGCAAGGACAAAAAGAATCTGGCAAATTTTATCTAGCCCTATTAGCTTCCAGTACTGAGTTTCACTTTTACTAAGGAGACTAGTTTAGACTTGATGTGGCAGCCATAGGGAAGCCAAGTACCACTCACCTTCCAGTGGAAATGGATGACTATTCTGTCTTGATACATGCCTCTGTTAGGCTCACTGATTCTCCAAAGAGTTTGGCCTAGATTTAATCGGCAATGCAAAACTGTACTCGAGATTAAGGTCTGAAGTATAAAAAGTAAAAGCTCACTGCCTCTAAACTTTGTGAGGTTCCCTTGAGTGACAGTATTTAATGAAATACAGTCTATTTACTTCTCTAGATGGGTGGTGTCCATACATTTTCTTCAAATAAAATTACAGCTGGAAGTCCAGGATATAAAACAGAAAACACCAGAACTGCTCTTACACAGTGCTTTCTAAACACAGTAGTTTAGAAAACTACTGCTCTAGATTCTCTTGACCAACTCTGTCCAATACAACTTTTTATGATTACAGGAATGTTCTGTATCTGTGCTGTCCAACTACATCCACTAGTCAGATGTAGCTATTGAACACCTGTGAAGTCAGTTGCTGAAGTGGCCAAGGAACTGATTTTTACGTTTCATTTAACTCTAATTAATTTAAATAACTACATATGGTTGTGGCTACCATCCTGCACTGCACTGCTCTAGACTCTACCCTTGCATCACCTACAAAGTCATGGACCTGAAATGCACATATTAGCCATCTATATATGTGCTTTGGGGTCAAGGCAGTAGCCTATGTTAAGGGATAACATAAAAGACAGCCTAGGAAGAAAAATGACTTGCAGAAATTCAGCAAATACTTATCAGGTGCTTGCCAAGTGCTGGGCAAAGTACTGCTATTATTTTCAGAGAGAAAATGGAAAGTAGAGAAGGTTTAGGGAAAAAACCCCCACAGAATTCAGTTTTGGACTAGTTTGTTTCTGTGAGCAGACATCTTCACATGGATGGAGCATAAGCCAGGATTTAAGGCTGTAGGCAGAACACTTGTCTGCATTTACTATGTGCTAGGTATTGTTCTGAGTGACTTACATATTTATTAACTCGTTTAATTTTCACAAGTCTTGGTAGGTATTATTATCTCCGTTTTATAGATAAGGAAACTGAGGCACAGGGATTTAGTAGTTTGCTCCAAAGTCCTATGGCTAATAGATGATGGAGCCAAGTTTCAACCCAGGCAGAATCTATAATCTTAACCACTATTCTGCTTAAAGAACACAGAACTAAGAAAAAGGAGCCCTGGGCTCTTGGTCTCGGCTTTGCTAGTAATAACAACCATGACTCTGAAAACCTAACAAATCACCTTCTGAACTCTATTTCTTATTCTATAAAATAAGGATGCTATATTAGAATTTTTTATTGTCCAATTGTGCTTTGAAATTTTATGGGTCGATGGAGAAAGGCCATCTTTATGTTCCTCTGCCCTGCTTTCATCTGTATCTACTCCCCATTTGTTTCTTCCTATCATATCTTCTATTACTGAAGAATGTTTCTCAGAGGTGTTTTTCTTCTTTGAATTCCTAACACCTTTAGTTTTGAACCATTCCCATTAGCAAGCTTTATTTATGTATTATCACACATTCTAGCCACAGTATATTATATAAAATAAATTCCAGTATTAACTTTCAGTAATAACTACAGATTCTCAATGTCAAACCGCCTAAAGCCAAAGCCAACTCTTCCTCTAATTAAAAAGCTGTATCTTCCCTAGTGTGTTATCCTCATTCCCCCACAAAGCTTCAGAACACACTTACAGATCATCCTTTCAGAAAAAATAATGCTCCTAGTACCTGTAGAGGTTAATATCTGCAAATGATTTGCTATTATTGATGGCAAATACACAGAGGAAGCCTTCGCCTGTCCTCATGTATTGGTCTCTCATGGCACTGTACTCCTCTTGTCCAGCTGTATCCAGTATGTCCAACAGACAGGTTTCACCATCTATAACCACCTGTTTTCGGTAAGAATCCTGAGGGTGTGGAGGGTGGGGAGAGAGGGAGATTCCATTTTTATTAAAAACCACAGGGAATGCAATGCTATTGCCAAGGTTAAATAAGCTCCTAACCAAGTCCATTTCTGTCTCTCTGGTTTGTCCCTCAAACTGCTAATATATAATCACAAACAGAAAGTCCTTAATGTCACCCTAGGAAAAAAGCCCCAAATCCTATATGCCTGCAGAAAGGAAATGTGGTCACTCCATCCCTGGAAAAGATGAAAAAAATGTGGTAATTCAAAAGACAGCTCTACGGCAATTAGACTAGAGATTAGGTTCACAGTGTATTTTACTAAGGTATGAACTGGACTCTTCTTATTTGAGTTGTTTACGGTACAGTTAAAATTCTAAACATACCTCCAAGAATTATAACCTGGCTGTGGATACAGTGTCATTTGTGTTTATGACTAAATACACAAATACTTTTTATTTCAGACAAGGTTATAACATCAGAATCTTTTTCTCATCATGACAGACTGTACCTTTGGCAAATATTCCTCAATGAAATTCTTAAAGGTTCCAAACAAGGTATAGTTATAATTAATTCCTCAGGAAGACAGACTTGCATAGATCATATAAAAAAAATTTCAATTTGGTTCTAAGGCAAAAATTTTACTTGTATTTTAATACTTATGTTCTGGGAGTTCAGTTCAAGAAAATAACCTCATCACACTTAATAAAGATATGGGTCTAGAAACAGAACTCCACCTAGTTTCCCAGCCCACGGATCAGTTCCTCTGTAACTCACTTCATCGTGTGGCTGCAACACACTCTCAAATTAACATAGAATTCACACTGCCAGAACTTCCTTGAGGCATGAAATACGGTTAAATGCATGAGTGTTCTGAGGAAATGAGCAAAATTATAATTACAAAGATAGGTTTTAGTCAAATGAATTTATGATAATGGAAGTCAGAGAAGTGGTTATTTCCTGGCCGGGTGGGGGAGTTTACTGACTGGAAAGGAGCAAGGGAGAACTCTCTCGGGCGCTGGAAATAGTCTATATTTTTATCTGACTGGTGGTTACATTAAGTATACACAAATTTAAAAAGTCACTGAAGTATTTTACTGTATGTAAATTACCTCTTAATAAATAAAACTCTGAAAGATATTAAAAGTTTCTAACTATTAATACAAAAGCTGTTAAGCCTAAAATAAAGATTTTTGCCAAAGTCTAATGACTAATTTTTAATAATGGCTATACTAGAGTTAGCTTGCATTGATTAAACACTCAGTAGCTGGGTGGTAGGAAGAGCAGCGTGTGGATTACAAGAAAACAACCTTTAGAGTCAAACATTCTAAATTGAATAAAATTACAAAGGCTTTTAAAATCTTTTATTTAAAGGACCTAAGATGCCATTCATTGAAGCCAGTCTAAAACGTGAACTCCGACGAAAACAAAAGAATCTTTAAACAAGTACTATTTATGCAGCACTTTACCATTTACAAAAAACTTAAAGATATTATTTGATTTTTCACAACATCCCTGTGTGGTAAGCAAGACAAATTTATGGTAATTTAACAGATGAGGAAAATGAGAGTCACAGAGATTAAGTGATTTGCTCAACATCACATAACTTTAAGCTGCAAACAAGGGACTGAAATCCTAGGCAGAGTGACTCAAAATGTCCCGTTCTTTCTAGCTTCAACTAGCTAAGAAATGAAAATTGCAGAATATCCAGATCTCTGAATCTTTTATCTCCATCCTGCTCTCATTCAGTCCCTCTACCTATGGCCTGTGTTTCTTTTTAATACAGATGTCATACATGAAGAAACTAAATGAGTTCAACCCTGAATTTGCAAGTTTACAGAACTGTTAAAAATTGTAAGCTTTTCAGAAAATCTTCAGCAGCTAATAAAAATGAATTCTCCACAAACATTCCAGCTTGACTTATTGTATTACTGAAGGCAGCACCCAAAATAACTTTATACTTTCTCTCCTGATTATTCCTTTAGCTAAAGAACAGCGAAAGGGTATGGGTAAGGGTAAAACGGAAGAAAGAGAGGTGGAGTCAGCGGGCTACCACTGGGCCTCACCTCTATGGTGGGATCATATTCATCTACAAAGTGGTTCTGGATTAGCTGGATTGTCAGTGCGCTTTTTCCAACACCACCTGCTCCAACCACCACCAGTTTGTACTCAGTCATTTCACACCAGCAAGAACCTGTCGGAAGGCAGCAATTAGGGTTAGTTGGCGAGCCACATCTACAGTACTTCAAAGCTTTCTATAATCAATAGTAACTAAAACCAAAATTTGAAACGTATGGCTTCCATACACGTGCCCTCCACTTGGTTCTCAAAATGATTCAGGAATGCAAAAAACCACGGGCAGGTTACTATGGGCCTCAGAATTCTGCATTACAGTCGTCTAGCTACCCCCACCCTCGTCTATTTTCCAACAGTCCTTGGGCTCCGCCCTCAGCCTAAGGTGAAGGAAACCCCCCTTTCTACTCCTCCCTCAAGTCTTCTCAGCTCTGGGGGTACGCCTCCAGGACGCCCCGTCTTCTTATTCGCCCGCCTATCTCTACAGACCTTCACTGTAGGGCTCAAAACCAAGGACCCCCGCCTAGGGCCTTTGTTTCCAGCTCGCAGATTCCGCTCGATTTCTGGGAACAACGAGACGCCTGTACGCTCCAAAGCCGAAAGCTACACACGCCAGAGCCTTACCTCAAGCTCTGGTGCCTCCGCTTCGGACGGATTTAGGACCACAACCGGGAAAAATGTTGGAGACCCCGGAACCGCCATGAACAACCCCCACTAGGGAGCGGCACTTCCGGCCCCGCCCGCGACGTAATCAGTCGGCGCCCCGGGCGCTCGAGTCCCCGCCCCGGCCACGTGGGCTTCCAACCCCGGAGTCATGTGGCAGGCCGCACCCAGACCCGCCCCTCCCGCACAGGACGTTGCAATAATGAAAGCGCTAGGTGCTAGTGTCTCAAAAATCAGTAAAACTTTATTCGCTTCCATTCTTTCGCCATTAACAGAAAACTGGAGAAAGCAAAAATGTTTTGTGTTTACAAAGATAAATGGCCTCTTTACCCAGAGAAGATCAAAACCTCAAACAACAACGGGGAAGATAAAAGCGCCCTCCCCCACATCCCCTGAGCTGACCCTTGTCATCTTAGACAAAGCCTTCAGTCCACTGGCCAGGGACCCTGTATGCGGCCAATTCAAGATGAGGGCCAAGAAATCAATCCATTCCCGTGATATAAAGTTGAACAGAAGCTACACCAAGGGTCAAGTGCCTGTATTTCACAGGACACAGGAACCAGGCGGCTACTTATAAAAAAAACAAGATTCATTTCAGGCACAACTTTTTTATTTTTTTTGTTTCGTTTTTAAATCAGTAAAAGAAACTGGGTCCTAGAAGCTGCAGTGATCTAAGCAGCAGCAAGTTTGTGCATTCGTCTTTTTGTTTTCGTTTAAATACGTTTAAATTATCACACTGCTGGCACGCCTCATTTGCATGAAATTCTGCACCATACATTCTAATTGTAGTAAAGTTACCCCCCCCATCCTAGGAAAAAAACTACTCTGGAAGATAATTTTCACTGAAATCTAACCAAACTTCGTTAAGTGGACTGTGACAAGATTATAAATGATATGAAAAATAACATTTTAACATTTGGCCATCAACTTAAGGAAATGGTTTGCCTATACAAATTTTTGTAATTTTTAATATATTCTACCCTCATATGGTCCTCAGAATTAAAGCATAATGAACAGGAAAGAAAAAGAATGCAACTGAGTGCTAAGGCAGAACATCTTGCCAGAAGTAATGAAGGTAGAGTATATACTAAATATCAAGTGCAGAATTTCATAGGGCCAACAAGATAACAGTCTATATTTTTCACTTACACAGGCAAAGTGGATTTTGCAATTACCAGTTGCGTTAAATGCACCAAATAAAGCTCCTAAAATTGATACTATAAGGCGCCACCTTAAGTTTTCCAGGCTGCAACTGTGCATAATTTTAAAATGGTTTTCTTAAATTTATTTATTTTTTTAAACATAACACGAGGAAGGTGTTAAAACTGGTGTAATAGCTCAATAGAATAAGTATTCCAGATTTTAGGAGGGATGAAGAGGGAGATATTCAGAACCCTTCACCAGAATCCCCCCAACTTGATCATAGTGGATTAATGATGTGCTTTGTGGATGTGGTTATTAGTCAATGACACCAGCTTGACGGATCTTTCTTTCTGCACCAAATCCCTGTGAAGAAATAAAATTGCAGTTAATGACCCAGATGCATGTTAATCACAGTACATTCATAATTCCAAAATGAACTACAAAAGCATTACTTTTAATCATCTTAACCACGACCAATTTTTTCCCAGAGGAGGAAATCTGTAACAAGCCCTCCTGATTTATTACCTCAACTATGTTCAAAGTATCAGGAAAACGAAGAAATATGTCTCTTACTGTAAGCAACCATTATGTTAGGGGCTGAATCAATATGGAGGGAGTCCTAACTAGTTATAAGCAATACTGAAGATCTTTGCTTTTGTTAAGCTATCTGAGCTATGCTGAAATAGGACCTCAAATACTATGTTGGTCTGTTAGCCATGCCCCCCCACCAACCCCATGGGGCAAACCTTGTATGCCCTCATACCATTGAGTTATCTGGTCCCCTTGGCTGACGAAGAACCATTAGGCGAGGAGCACTGGCATCATCCAAGGTGATGTTCTTCAAGCGATTGACCAACCTATCAGGTCGTGGAGCTGCAACAGCTTTGGGGCCCTCACTGTAACAAAGTTGAGAGGTGAGAAGAAGCAACATTTGGTGGGAAGAAAGCAAGTACTTGCAGAGGAGTGTGTTTTCTACCTAACTATCCAAATGACTCAGTTTTAATGAGGGGGGACTCTTGCCTCATCTAGCCAGCTAGCTAGCAAGACAGGACAGACAAGTTTATGTTTTTATTCCCAAGTCAAGGTTTATTTCTGCGTAGGAGCTAGAAGAATCAGTTGGGTGAGGGTGATCCCTAGAATGCTCTGCAACAAGAGAAGACCAGTTTCACAGACATAAAACAAGGCAGCAGATGTGAAAAATCTTAAAAAAGTTAGATCTCCTGGCTCCTCTCATGGTAACAATGTCATTGATTAATGGCGGGGGGGGGGGGGGAGCAAGCACAGAGTCAAAACTGCTGAACTAGAAAATAGAATTTTAAGCAGCATATAACCTAGAGATGGCTTAATGAAAGAAAAAGAGCTAAGCAGAATCCTTTAAGGACTACATAATCTTTTGTATAAAAAGGTCTTTTATATAAAAAGATCTATTACATAGTAAGTGCTCAATTAATGTTTCATTGGGCCAGATTTATGAGACTAGAAAATTTAGATGATGAAGACTAGAGGTAAAAAAGACCTAAGTATCAAGAAATAACCAGAAAGCGGCAGAAGAGGATAAATGCAGCAGTGATGGAAAAGTGAAGCAACATGATAAAGCAGAAATTACATAAATTGACAGTCCAGGGAGATTACTAACGCAACAACAAAAACTTACCAGACTCGCCAAACATTACAAGCGCTGCACTTGCCAGTGCGCTGATTAAGAATCACTGAGAATTCCACCTCATCTCCTGCCTGTAGCTCAATGCCATCCTGAACTTCTTTCACATGGAAAAAGAGCTTCTTGCTATCTCCTACTTCATAGTTAATGAAGCCAAACTGGAGGGGGGCAAAAAATAAGACAGTAGCTAAAGAAAAAGACATACCACGGTGGGGGAAAGCACCTCACTCTGAATGAAGCACAATGCATGACCCTAACTACAAGGGGATTTATAAAACATGGTATTAATTAATTAGTTCAGTTGTCTGTGCTATAATTTAACAGCATATGGGCCTGCAAAACTTGCCAGGGAAGAAATATGTCTTTGAAATTACTGCCATTCACTCTATCACTGCCTGACTGAAACAAGTAAAGAAAGGTCACCTTGTGCCTTTATGTAGTATATGAACTAAGTTTTTGAATCAAGCAACATTATTAGGGAACTGTTACTTGAACATATGTAGTGTTTTAATTCCTGGGTTATGGTACCATAAGAAATAGCCAGACAAAACGTTATATTCACCAATACTGACAAATGTCCTCTTTAAGGACTCAAAGGGATTTCCCTGAGATCTCAGAACCAGGAATAGCTTTGTTTGCCAAAGCTTATTTTATGACTACTACTACACATAGTTTCTTTGTGTGATCTGTAAGCTCTGAGCTAAAGTGTACAAAACCTATAGTTTTTCTATTCTTGAACTTTCATTCCGAATTTATTGTCCCTATCATGCAATGTTAGTTATTAATACCACTCTTATTTTGTTTTTGCTAATATCATTTTTTTTCCATGTGGTTTTCTTCATACTTTTATAAGCTACCTCAAATCACTGAAAAAGGGGCAAAGTAGAAGTAACCAAATGAATGTTGATGATTCCCCTTGGCTGAAAAAATTTGAAGGTTCTGGTTACTATTTGGTTACCAATTCATAAAAGGATCAAATTCAGACCCCGAGATCCCATCACTTACCTGATCTTTCACACACTCCACGGTGGCCCTACGCAGGGGTGTGATGTTATAGGCCATAGTCTGTGCATTTTGGCCCAGGACACACAACTGGAATTTGACACTCTCCCCTTTCTGCAGACAATCCCCTTTGTTGGCCATCCCAACTATGCCAAATGGATAGACCTCACCTTTCATATCCCCTGTAAGGAGAAAGAGATAAGAAGTCTAAAAGCTAATATTTCACAACAGCTCTCTGCTGATGGTCCTAATAAATTTATAAATAAGTTGCTAAAAATGTATTGTTCCCTAAAAATAGTTCTACTTTAAAGCTTCAGTGAAATCCTAAATGCTAAATACTACCACGAAAACAAATGAGAACTTGCAGCTCATTATTTCCTTACTAGCTAATGAGGAGTTTTAAACTGCATTTATGAAATTAAGAACAACACTATCGCTCACAATCTCATTACCTACATATTTGGGCTTTTTTCCCCCCTCTATCCCCCACTCCCTCCCTGTCTTAACTTCCCTTATTTGGGGTTTCTAAGCACTATGGATTGCTAATATGATCCACCAGATTATTTTATTTCCAAGTTCACAATATGAGCCAACCAGTCAAAAATATTTCTGACCCATGCCCAGCTGGGCATTAAACAACAAGCCAGGAATAGGCAAAAACAATGTAAATAAATTTCTTTGGTATTCTGCCTCCGTTCTTTGTTCTGATTGTGGCTCCCTCAAACCAACAGGCAACCTTCTCCTAGATCAGGGCTCCTTACACTTTTTCTTAAAGGACCACATAGTAAATATTTTAGGTCTGTAAGTCATCCTGTCAGTCACTACTCAACTTTGTTATTGTAGTGAGAAAACAACCAAAGACAACATGTAAATGAATGGTCATGGCTGAGTTTCAGGTAAACTTTATTTACAAAAACAAGCCACCATATCTGCTGAGCTCTGCCCTAGAGTAAAAAATTGGCGGCACGTCAGTGCAGGCTGTGGATAAAAACTGGGCCCACAGAGTTCAGGTGCCTATCAGTTCACCTGCATGGTGAATCCACTGAAGCAATAAAGTGGAAAAGAGGAGAAAGACATCAGTTGGAGTGGAAGCTTCAGAACTGGAAATGATTTTATTTTAACCATTCTCTTAATGATTATAGGGGTAAGCAAAGATTTTTCTTTTCAAACATACAGGAATCAAAAACTTCGAGGAGATACTTCCAACAGATCAAGTCATGCAGAAGGATTAGAGACAGCAGGTCTGATGCAGTGGTATCAATACGAACCACCATTTATTAAACACTTAATACTGATTCATATTTAATCTTCATAGAAACTTCTGAGGTTGAAGATACTAACCTCATTTGAAAGACGAAGAAACTGAGTTAGGAAATTGTCCAAGGTTACATAGCTAGGAGGTGGAAGAGCTGGTGTTCAGATCTAGGTGTGCCCAACTCCAAAACCCATGGTCTTATATTGAGTTACAGTTGTATTTCTAAGTAAAAGAGCTGTTCTCACCACCAAGTGGGAAAATATGGTCTGTCTAGTCCCAGAAAATTCTAGGCTTAGAGATTTCAGAGATTCCCTTCCCACAAAATCCTTGCTTTGGACTATATCCTATAGCCAGAGTTGAAGAATAAGTAGAATACAAAATAAAGTAAAATTAGCATGTTAGAGAGGAGGAAGAAGAAGGGCAATTTTATATTATCTCAAGAGTTAAAGTTAGCTGCTGATACCCTAATGGCCCTTTTAAGGGTATGGTGTCATCATGGCATTAGTTTAAAAGACTGATTTGCTATAAAATCAGTGCTTACTTGGAGGTGTGTGTGTGAGGCAGTACTGGTTCTATGTAAAACAGAAATTCCTAAGAACTCATGTGGTAAAGGAACATGTTATCAAGGTTCTTTTCCTTCTCTCAAATGACCTGCTCCTCCCCACTTTATGTTCTTTCTATGACTCCTAGATAACACAAGACCTATTCTCTTTGTGAGTCAAGCTATCATCTTTCGTTGAACCGCTCTCATCAACCCATTATGGTAATTCTGCTATACTAATGTTCCCTACTATCACTTCTACTGCAAACCTATTTTACACACAAAATTGGTCTTTCTGGTGGTAATAACTAGGGGTAAAAGGTGGCACCAGAACTCATGGAGTTACTGAAGATGGAGAGAAAACAACAGAAAATGAAAAATATAGGGAGCTCTGGCTTAGAGACAAGCAGTAGGATCCCCATGGAACTCTAGCTATTAAGGAACAGATAGGGGCCGGCCCCGCAGGTGAGTGGTTAAGTTCGTGCTCTCCACTTCAGCGGTCCAGGGTTTCAGCAGTTCAGATCCTGGGCGTGGACATGGCACCGCTAATCAGGCCATGCTGAGGCAGCGTCCCACATAGCACAAGAAGAGTCACTTACAACCAGAACATACAACTATGTACTGGGGGAGGCTTTGCGGAGAAGGAGGAGAAGAAGAAAAAAGAAGAAGATTGGCAACAGATGTTAGCTCAGGTGCCAAGCTTTAAAAAAGGGAACAGATATAGTAAACTTTTATGGGAAGCACTAATGTTTATAGAATTGAATCGTTACTAGGAAAAGTGTTAATACTGATGTAAATAACTAGTGAATAATAGAGGAAAATTATAAAGTTGTACTAAACCCAGCCAATTGTGAATATTTGATTATCACATGACATCAAATGCAAATTCTTGGTATGACCTTTTGTTCTCAGTCTATTTCAATATAACTCAATTAGTTGCTCACCTATAAGTCATATGCTTACACAGCAGTCATTTGTTCACTACACAGCAGTCATTTGTTCACAACACAAACCCAGGCTGATCTCAGACCCAAGGGATATAAAAATAAAAACCAAGCACGGGGGGAAAAGTCACTTTTCCTTAATTCAGTTTTTAAGGAATCTGAAAACAATTACAACAAATACCATCATATTTTAAAACCTTCAAAGTGCTCATGTGAAGGTAAGACAAATTTCAAACAATCTGACAAGGATGCTCTTACCTTCCTCCACGATCTCAATCATTCCTTGGTACTCAGTCTGTGTTGGATCAACACTCCGCAATGGGCGAATGACTTTACCAGAGTAGATGGTGGGATCAGCTTCCTCAGTAATGCCATTCACTACAAAACAAAGCACGTATACCTCTCATTCAATGGGGTTTTACTTAAACTCTATCCCACAAGGAAAAAAGCAAAAGCCATCAGAAGAAATGTTAAAACATAAGAGGGTTGGTTGGTTGCCTGCTATTCTTGAAACATTTCCAAACTACCATTAAGACAAAGTTAATTTGTGGGGCCAGCTCTGGTGGCGTAGTGGTGGAGTTCATGTGCTCTGCTACGGAGGCCCTGGGTTCGCGGGTTTGGATCCTGGATGTCGACCTACACACTGCTCATCAAGCTAGCCTGTGGTGGCATCCCACATATGAAACAGGAAGATTGGCAACAGATGTTAGCTCAGGGCCAGTCTTCCTGACCAAACTAAATAATTTGTTTAAAGAATTAACAAGTATACAAATTTAAAACATGCCTTGCTCTTTCACCCTTTCCGTATGATCAAATGTCACCTTTTTAGTGAGGCCTTCCCTGCGCTCTACAATGGCAAACCCAATATTTATATCTTTCTAAAGATACTACGTAATTTTACTCATCTTGTTTGCCTGTATTTTCCACTAAAAAATAAGCTCAATGAAGGCAGGGATTTGTCTAATTTCTTTACTGCTATACCCCCAGTATCTAAAACACAGCATGCACTTAGATATATTTATTAAACTGAAATGAACATTCTTGGCTGTCATCTCTCTAAGCCTCACCAAGAGCAAGTGTTATTTGGGGAGTTAAGATGAAAGCCAAAAGTGAGCTATAGATCTTTTAAAGGTCAGAGATCCTAAATATCAATGATTTTCTTAAGTTCCCATTGTTTTTCACATTTAGACTCATTCTTCTCCAAAATGGTCTTCCAGAGAAATCCTTCTTTCCCCAACCCCATGAAGATTTATATCTTGGGGCTATTTTTAAAAAAGATATCGAATTGGAAATAAACTTAAAGCAAATGACCTAAAATATCTAGAACAGTAGTTCTCAAACTTCCGTGTACATCAGAATCACCGGAACGATTTGTTAAAACAGACTCCCCATCCCCAGAGTTTCAGTAGGTCTGGGGAAGGGTCACAGAACTTGTATTTCTATCAAGCAGCCAGGTGATGCTGCTAGATCTGGGGACTACACTCAGAGAACACTGATCTAGAACAATTGGGTTTTTGCTCCCTATCCCACCCTATCCCTTTATCTCTCACCCAAAGCACAGGCTGACTAACTACAAGTCACAATTCATTACCTGAGTGTGTTTTGTTCACTTTTTCTGCACTGACTTTGTTGCCTTTGCCTTTGGACAAGCTGTACTCGACCATGTCCCCCAGTTCCAGGCTATCGACATCACCAGAGAACTCACTGGGGGGAAAGGAAATGACAATTTGAATAAGCAATCACCACAAACATCAACAGTAGCAAGTAGTCTTTATTTCTTCTATAACAACATTCATGGTGTGCTTACTTATGCTGGATACTGTTTTTAAGCACATTATATGTATTGACTCGTTTAATCCTCAGAAACACTCTATGAAGAGGTACCATAATAAACCCTAGCTTCACGATAATGAAACTAAGATACTAGGAAGTTAATTTCATTCAATAAAAGTTACAAAACTAGTAAGCAGCAGAGTCTGGATTCAAACTCCAACTGTCCGGTTCTAGGAGCCCATGCCCTTAACCATTATGCTATATTATAATACCAAATCAAATATACAACTCTCTGGTAGCAACATATAAAAGAGTATTCTTTCACTGAAGCAGAAAGGCTCCTATCCAATGTTCAAGCATCCAGGCTTTTCTATATCTTTTGGCCACACATTCTCTATATAAAGATAGATGATTAATTTTAGTTTATAAATTGCCATAATTTTACCAATATAAAATTTCTGATTAAAAATATAACCACCTAATAGTAAACATTTTTTAACTTCAAAACCAAAGGATGCATGGTAAGCTCTAACTTCCTAAAAGGCATTCCTCACCTGTAATGGAAAAAGATTTCCTTATCATGATTGGCTGTTTCAATAAATCCAAAATTATCCTTCAGAGTTGCCACATAACCCAAGAGCCTCTTGGAGTTGGAATTACGACCTAAAAGTCGCACACAAGTTGCAATCTGCTGTCCAGGCCTCTGTTTGTCACTAATACTAAATTCAACCTGTGAAAAACAAGGATGCTCATTAATAGCACATCATTTAGACACCAAGCTCCTTAACTCCTTAAGCTCCATAACTTCCCCAAACCATACTTTGCACTCCAAATATTCTTTGTAAATACTCTGATGGAATAGATTTTCACCAGACTTCTAAGTCTCATTCCATTTTCACAAAGGATCAAATTTTATTCTCCAATGTGTATTCCTTATAGATTCTTAATTTCTCTAAAGGAGGGGTATCAGAAAACCATAAGTACTAAGTATGAGAAAAACGAAAAGCAACGTAAAATCTTTGGTGTGATTTTACTTTGATGACGTTTCAGTGACTGTTTTAACTTTCTCACCAATACTATTAATTTTATCTAAGCTAATTGATTCAGGCATATCTTATACAATTTAAATAGTGACTCCTCAAAAAGCTTTTAAAAAGACCTTGCTAGATCCTATTCTAATTGAATAAACTGCTTTTAAATAGAAAGATGTTCATACATTAAACCTGTAGGCACAAAAAATTTTAATCAAAACTTGACAAAACTTGAACCATTTTCTAGGCTTTATGTTTAAGATGACAACCTTTAACCCTCCCTCTCTCAAATAAGCAGAATTATCTTGCCTTATCTCCTATTTGAGGGGAAGTAGATCCTTCCACATCCTTGGCTTGAAAAGCAATAGTCAATTTCACTCCACAATCATCATAAGCAATAACACCATCCTCAGCCTCCTAAAGAAAAAGTCAGAATACAACGAAAAAAACCAGGAGCAAAAAAGCAATATAAGCAGCTACAGTTCTTAAAGACCCTTGAGGCAAAGGATTGGCAGAGCTGTAGGGATTTCCTACTCCAGTGTTCTCTAACAATAATAGAATTTTATATGAATAAAGTGGTAGTGTTGCCTTAACCCAGGACTGATTCAATCTGCTGTAACTGGGTCTTCTAGTCTTAATAACCTAATTTTTGCTGTTGAGGAGGAAAAAAGGAAAAACTTATTGAAAATTTACAATATGCTCATTCTATACTTCTCTTAGCCAATCAGAAATCAAATTGGGCATGTATTTTCAACCAGGTAGAAATTCTGTCGGGCAAGAAGATTTTGTAGTGCCTATTTTGAATCTCCTATAGTATCTCACAGTGTTTCATACATAATGTTAATCAATATATTTACCAATGCATGAGAATTTAATTTGGTACAGGATCTAGCACAGTTCAGGGCATTGGATATGCAGGCAAGTGATTAGGTTATGATACACCAGTGTTTCCATAATAACACTTAAATTGCTGAATACGAGAAAGATTAGCTCCTCAAAAGTGAGAAATTTCAGGTATGTCATATAGAATCATACAGTAAACAACGACATTGTATAGCCACTACATAAATTATAATGTTTCTATGGTTTCAACTATCATTTCTATGGGGATTAATGCCCACATCCCTAGTCTAGCTTTGACTCCTTTCCTAAGCTCCAGAACTTATTACTATTACATATTCAAAATCAATTAATTTCTACTCTTCTACCATTCATACTCCACTTATAACTATTATATAATAATATTTACTGAACATTTATAATGTACCAGACATTATGTTAGGCACTTTGTACTATCAAATTTAATGTTACAATAAAACCATCTCTACAATTACTCTTATCTCTCATTTCACAAATTAGGGAAGTCTTAGGAGGGTAAAAAAAATGTGACTTGCTGTATGCCTTAAACTGATACAGTGATGCATCTTATTTCCCAATAAAACTGGAAAAAAAATCAAACAAAAACAACAAACTTGACCAAGGTTATATAGCCGTACAAAATGATGCTAAGGATTTGACTTTGGTTAAGTCAAGAGTGATGATGTCAGTCAATTCAAGCCTGACTCCAATGGCATCAACTCTTTTGCAAGTCAACCAAACTCAAAATCTCAGCATTTTTGTTCTCAACTCTTTTCTAGCCGTTAACCTCAATATCCAGCAATATACTACATACCAAGTATATTAAACAGAGATAAGACAATCCCTGCCTGCAAAGAGTCCAGTCTAGTAGAGGAGACAGATTCATAAACAGGTTAAGTGTAATATACTATCATAAGCCCAATACTAAAGGACTTACTAGGATACAGTGTTGGCCTAAGAAGAAAATAACAACAAAAGGGCAGGAAAAGTCTCACACAAAGGCTGTCTTGATCAACCCAGTTTTCCCAGAGACATCTGGGAAGCAGGCCATTCCAAGAGCTAAAAGCCATTAAAAATACGGCCCAATGAATTTTATTTTTATTATTGTTAATAGCACCATCAGCCACTTGTGAAATTCCTAGTATGGGCTAGGCACTGTGAGGGGTTTTTAAACAAAACAGGAGACAAAATTTTTTTTTTTGCAGGGAAAGATTCACCCTGAGCTAACATCTGTTGCCAATCTTCCTCTTTTTTTTTCCCGCCTCAAAGCCCCAGTGCCTGGTTGTATATCCCAGTTGTAAGTCTTCTAAGTCTCCTATGTGAGCTGCCACCACAGCATGGCAACTGACAGATTGAGATGGTGTGGTTCCATGATCAGGAAACAAACCTGGGCTGCGGAGTGGTGATAGAGCCAAACTTTAACCCCTGGCTCATCAAGGCTGGCTTAAGACAATAATTTTTAAGTTTAAAAACTGAAGCTCAGAGGTGAAGTCACTTTCCAAGCTACAAAATAAGTGGTAAGCAAGCTGCTCTCTCTGTTCTTTCTGGCTCCTAAATAGTTATTTCTAAAATTACCTTACTTTCCACCATCTCTCTCATGGATCTTTTCTTGTCTACATCCATTATCTCTGTCTCTAGTGCAAGGACTATCTAAACCATTAAATAATTTCCTATCAAGCCTCTTGTCTTTCTCTGCCCCCTTCTAGGGTTAACAATATAGCCATTATCTTCCTGAAGTGCATACCTGATGTCATTTTCCAACAGAAATCTTTTTCTGAATACAGAACAAGGTCTAAATTCTTTAGAGTAGCAATCAACACATTCTCAATCTAGCTGTGTCCTGATTTTTCATCCCATTTCCCCTACTCACCTCCATCCAAGAAAAATAAACCCATCTTCCTGTCAAACTACTTAGCGCTTTCTAAAGAAACCCTGGATTTTTCTTACCTGTACCATTACTCTGTGAGGAATGTTCTTTCCTCATTTATCACTACCTACTAAATGCCAATGCCTTAGTAAAATCATCCCAGGTCCTGCCAGTTTAATTTTCACCAGAGCACTTACTGACTTTTTATGCCAACATTTTCTATATGAATTATCTGTTTCTATACAACTCTCAATTTATTTACTTGAGAGCAGAAGCCATCTTAGACATCTTTCTATTTTTTATTCAGAGGATTTTTCAATAAATGGAGTCCAAATGTGTGAAGTGAGTCTACCCAAATTTGAAAGTTAAACTGCTTGGTCAGTAAGTTCTATCATTTTAGATGAGTGGTTCTCAACTGGGGTGATCTGGGGACTTTGGGTAGTATCTGGAGACACTTTTGCCTGTCATACAGGGGGAGGAGAAAAAGAGAGATATTGGCTTCTACTTGGTAAATGCCAGGGATGCTGTTAAACATTCCACAATGCCTAGAACAGCTCCTCCTGCAAAGCATTATCCAGCTCAAAATGTTAATAATTAGTTCACTGTTAATATTACACAGAATTCTGAAAGAGAGAATATCCCATTATTGTGTGGACAGTGGTTGCCTTTAAGTAGTAGAAGAATAAAGAGCTACAAAAAATCATTTTGATCATGTAAAACTTACCTTTTCTTTGCCTTTATTTGGGCTAGTGGTTTTAGGATTGGAAAAAGTGGCTTCTTTTTCTACAGTGCCCATAAAACGATGATCTGAATGGGAATGGAATGAAACCGTGCCCTTGGGAAGCTTTTTAATCCTAATAGCATGATTTCTTTGGGCAGAGAGCATATCCTACAAATGATAAACAAAAGTAACTTTAACTGAAAAAGGAAGCATCAAGAAAACCCCTCATATTCTTGTCAAAAACTACTCACAGGAACCACAGTAAACTCTACTTCATCTGCAATATGGAGCTGGTTCCCATCCAGGATTTCACTGAAGTGGAAGAACATGCGAGCATCACGATCCACACACTTGATGAAACCAAAGCCATCTCTCATGGCAGCAATTACACCCTGAAACGCAAATAATATTTTCACTGGCTGTGAAGCATGTCAAGACAACAACATTCAAGTTTGGAAACATCAAGTTAAATTCATTAGGAATTTTTTGTATTAATGACCCAAATTCTGTATCCACATTTTAATTTTTCCATTTAAGTACAAATTCACTGTATTCCATAAAGTAAGTTAACCTCTGAGCAACTGTCTGAGACTCCCCATGTACTAGAAAGTTATCATATTTGACCATAAACACATGCACATAATTTATTCCATTTAATTTAATCCTCAATTCTGTGAACTTGGTAGTATTACCCCGTTTTGAAAGATGAGGAAATTGAGGCAGAGAGAGGTTAAGCAATTTGTCGAAAGCACACAGCTAGTGAGTGGCAGAAACCAGGATTCCAAACAAGGCCCAAGCTTTATGACAATATAACTTCCAGAAATTTAGAAGATATACCCACTAAAAGGCATTTGAAAAGCCCTGCTGTGAAAACGAAATCTACTTAACTTTGTTTAATCTAGTGTTTACTAAACATCTTATGGAACAGTTTGGGAAAAACTACTTTCTACAATGATGGACTTGAACCTTCTCAGCCTTCATGTTTAAGGGCCAGAGAATCACTGACTCTCAAAAGTCCTTAGAAATCATCCTGTCCAGATTTCTATTCTAAAGCTTTTTCACCTTTGTTTTAAGATAACTGGCAGAGTTAGACGTCAAACCAAGACCTGATTCAAATGTCTGTGTTCTTTACCACCTTAACACGGTAACTGCCCAGGATCACTAATTTTGAGTTTTCAATATAGTATTACCACCTTGAATAAAACAATGCCCCCCCAATACTGGATACATATCTTATAATGTACAACACTTACCATTTCTCTGGCTTCATTAGTGAACTGAAATGTATTTGACAGAACTTCTATGTTGGTTGCTCGTTCTAATTTGTCACGTCGGTCTGTTGAAATATTAAACCTAACATGGTCACCTTCCAGCAGGGTCACCTTGGATTTTGTATCTTTGTCTCCAAAGGGAAGTTCTTTAGGAATCACAAAGTCAACTTTGATGCGTCCTGGCAATGGGTCATTCTGATGAGAGGAAAAAACTATTTTAGCTGGAGATTTCTCATCCTTCCTAGTTCTAAGTCAAACAAGAAGAACACACAGCAAACCCACATTATTTATAATAGACAGTTCCCTCAAGGGAAAAACAGTGTTGAGAACATAAGTCCAATTTGAAAGCTTTGTGTTCTATGGTCAAATGATACAACCAGACATTCACAACACTGCAGTTAAGATCCTGCATACTGATATTGACAGATTTTATTTAAGGAAAAGAATTTCAGTCTTTTATGTTTCATATTTCCTTAGCAATGACATCCCTGGTCTCATCTTCTCACTTCTCCCACAAAAGAAACAAACTGGGGTCGGGGAACAAATGCACACCCAAACTGTTTTTTTCCCAATTTGACTGGTGTTTCTTCTTTTGTCCCTTTTTCCTTACCACCCAGTAAAAAACAAACAAAACATATTCATGAACGTAATCAATGGTTTCTCATTTAGTTTAATTATACATATCAAGAAATATTTAATTGTTCCACTATCTCAGAATTACGTTAATCGAATACAATAAAATTTCCACATACCATACCATATCATTCTATTACTGCTGAGGCAAAAGAAGACTCTCCTGGAAAAAAACTATTTACCTGGTTTTTACTGGGTACTTTTGGAATAACTTTGGTTACAGTTCCTTCAAAATGTTCAATGCTGATATCTTCAAAAATGACTGTTCCTTGAGGCAATAGTCTGACATCTGTTGCAACTTCTTTACCCTAAGTAAGAAGGGAGTTGGAGAGGAGGGGGATTAGGTAATTTTAAGTGTTTCCTAAAAATACAATTCACTACTGATCTTAAAAGAAGGCCAAAGATCAAGGTAGCCAACTATCTTACATTTCTGTCCTTGATTGTGAATTCCACGTCATCTCCAGGCTGTAAGGTTTCTAAGTCACCCTTAAATTCACTATAGTGAAAGAATATCTCTTTTACAACATCACCTCTTTCAATAAAGCCAAAGGCCTCCTAAAGTCAAACAAACAAAAACCAAAAAATAACAGAAATATTATGTACTATTCAGTGTACATATTTATGAGTACAACTTACAATCAATAAGCCCTTTCATAAAATTATATCACCGTGGAAACAAGATATTTGGTAAAGTCTAATAGTAATGTTATCAACTAAATGGTCTATTTTAAAGAATATAATGAATTAGTAACCAAGGAATTTTAAGAGATTACTTTTGAGTTTAATAGTGAAATATTTTTAAAGGGAAGACAGAGGAAAAGCAAAAGCCTTCAGTTTGAAGTATAAGACAAAGCAGTCAAAGAAAAAACTCAAGTTTCTCAAATTTGATGACACTTACCTTCATGGCACAAACTACTCCCTGACAGCGGGCTGGTTTCTTTTTCAACAGCATAATGTTACGAGCACTTACAGCACCAGTACTAGAAAAGAATAATTGGGTGGGGATGGGGGGATCAAAGAGGGGTGAAAAACGCATTGGCTTGGTTAGATATGATGCGTCTAGAGAAACACCAGTTTTCTGAGGCCTCAAGAATTCTATGTCATCACTAACAGCAAATTTAAGGTTTAGGACACCTGATCCTTTTCATATGGCTTCATATGCAAAGGACTTCTGCTGAAACTCCCTAGCCTTCTAAATTGGGCACACATATATAGACAACTTTTCTCTTAAGCTGTTAGAAGACTATCATGGATACATGATGTTCTACTCTGCTTTCCTATTACATAACAATAGAAGTAAAGCCACAAATTGGGTGCAACCAACAACAGGGAATACTGAAGTTTTAGGAAGGTCATTCATTGAACAAATATTTGAATAGGTATTATGTGCTGCAAAAGTACTGGGGATACAGATATGAATAAAATGTGGTCCCTGTTTGCAATGAGTGCTGAATTTAGTAGCTATCCCATCATCATTATTTCTGATTAAACAGCCATAAAAGAAAGTTGAGTAAATGCAATGATTATAGGAGAAATTTGCCATGCTTTAAAAAATGACATTCACCTTCATTGAAACTGGTTTGAGACACCATGTTGCTATACTGTCCCCATCTCTAAGCAGCAGCAATGTAAATCTGAGTTCATTTTAAAGATGGCAGAACTTAAGTCACAATGGTATTTGTTGGTGTAGTTGTTTAAGAAGAGTTGCATACTAAGGGATTACTTCCCTTAATTCTTCACGGGATAAATTGTAACCCAATTGTGCTTTATTTAAAAAATTTAACAAACTAACAAAGACACTGGAAAAATCCTAACTGCCTTTGCAACTTACTGCAGTCAAAAGGCTTTAGGGCCAGATCAAGTTTTAAATGTCTGCTATTTAAAAGCTGTATGACTTTAGGCAAGTTACTTTATGAGAAACAAATCTCATTTTACAGATGAAGAAATTTTATCAGGTGAGGATGTTCTGAGGATTTACAACTACACATGAAGTATTTACTTGCTTGGCACACACAAGAACGTAATAAAGCCCTTTCACTGGCTCCCCACTCAAACTCAAGCCCTATCCCCTAGTTTCCTACTTGAGATTAAATTGAGACTTTCAGACCGACACTAGTAACACCCACAACTTGATCTAATTCCTTCTAGTCTCATAAGAAAGAAAGTTCAAGGCTAATAATTCTGCACATGCTCTTGGGACTCTTCTTTCCTTATGCTGTTGGAAAGTGCCTTTCTAGCACTTTCTCCAACTTCCTATTTTTGACTTCCTTCTGTACTTGTATCTCTTGTCTCTCCCACCCCAAAATAAAAATCATCATCCCTGGGCTTTCTTTACACTTCCCTTAACTGTTAATGCCGATGAATTCAACAACTATTTATTAGCTTGTCTCACACTCACACATGCAACTGCATATTCATATCGCTACTCAGAAATACCCACAGACATCTCAAATTCAAAATACCAAAATAAGTCTAATTTTTCCCCCACCCTTAATACTTTCGCTTTTATCTCCTTAGTCCAGTTAATGGTATCATCACCTGTCCAGTAGCCCACGCCAGAAAAATGGCATTAGGGATTCTGCTTCCCTGAATTCCAATACACACCTCTTTCTAATCAATTACAGAGCTTGATGATTTTATCTTCTCAATGTTGACTTGACTTCTCCATCCAACCACTCCTGGCCTATCTATATTAGGCCCTTATCTTTCATATTAACTCTCATATTACTGCTGCTAGTCCAGAGCATCCCTACTCTCCAAAAGTCTACCACCTTCACTGCTTCCAATCATGTAAACCAATTATATCCCTTCATTTAAAATCCTTCAAGAGTCCTATGCTTATGGAATAAAGCTCAAACTTCATCTCTCTACGAGCCAGTCAATTTAATCAACTCAAATTTCTGGTTACTTCCCCAAAATACTTCCTCTCCCCAGAATGCTCTCAAGTGACTTGACACTCTTCCCTCAAAACTTACATCAAGCACTGCTGCTTTTGCAAACTCAACACTGACCTCCAGAACAGCTCTGACCATGTTTTAATTACCTTCCTATTTCTGACCCCTTACACAGCAACCATCATAGAATAGACCCTCAAATGCTTAGCTGATAAAAGATAACGAAAATTATCCAGATTTACAAGTTAGGTTTTTAACTAATTCAAATTTCTTATAAAAAATCACTTAGGTGGGAAAAGAGAACTTACTGTTTATTGTTATCAATTACAAAGTTTATTTTATCTCCGGTTTCCAGCTGAACGTTCCCTTCGACATCTTCAGGGGTATAAGTCAGATAAAACACTTCCTGTGAATTAATAAGTCATTATTACTATATTGACAAGATGCATGTTCACTGTATACTGTGATTTACTTCGTTAAATACCTCAAACTGGCATTTAAAAAGCCAAATTTAAAATTAAATGCTTTATGACAAGTACATTGTTTTATTCATATAAACACACACTTCCCCTCCATGATGCTGATGACTTCTGCGAGTCCACAGCTGAGCAGCAACCCAACTTCAAAAAGCTTACACACGTGGAAGCATTTGCCCAGAGACTGTAGTTACATTTCAAAAAAACAATTTTTATATAAGGCATTCCAAACAAAAAAGCTGGAGTTAGTGCTTAAAAGAAACCAGAAAAAAGGTCCCACTCCCACAACCCCCAAAAAAGTGCATAAAAGGAACATTTTACCTCAATGTTCTAACTAAGGTCACACTTGGGCAAGCTAAGACACTTGGAAGTCCTATGGATTTTTTTCTTTGCAAGTTTTTGATTATGTCGCACTCAAAGTCTCTCAGACACCAAATTTAAAACTGATTTTATCAACTGCAGCTTACGTTTTCTATTTTGAATTTTAAAGTACGCTTATAGATCACATGGTGGATCAGGCAAAGGTTTAAGAAAAATACACAAGTTTACCCCATTACGTTCGTAGCATACACTCCCTGTTGGACTCTGACCCGGGGCAGCTGGAGATTTACTCTCTAAGTTGTGAGGAACAGCGCACACAACCTACCAGTCAAAAAAAAAAAAATTTCCATTGCTAATCATTTCAGGAGCAGCACTGTGCAATATAAACTGAATTTTAATATCCTCTATACTAGACATAGGGATGCATTTTAATATGATCCACAAGAGGATGTCATGCTGCCAAGTTTCAAACTTACAGTACATGAATTGACTGTAAGTATAGACTTAGGGTTATATGTAAAAACCTAAATTGAGTCTTGACCATATTTTAATTCAGGTCAAGAAATGCCAGTGCTTCTGATTTAATTTTAAAATAGTAATCTTTATATACTATAGCTCTCTTACGTGCAAACTGAGGAGATGGGGAGAATCTTCCCTTTCTAATGTGAAAGATATGCAAATGCAGGGCCCTAAGAAAACACAAAGCTTCAAAGTCACTAACTTGTCCATTAATTCGTTCTTCAGGGAGGATTTCTGGTTTTATCTTCACCAGTTTAACAGCAATGGGTTTCCCAGTCCGCCGGTCAGATGATACTTCGAATTCAACATCATCTAAAATAAACAAAGTGGTGTTTGTTGGGCTAATTCTGGCAAAATGGATCTCACTTTCAAGCTAAACTTAATGTAGCATTTGAGTTGCCTCAGACCAGTGATTCTCAAAGTGTGGTCCCTGGACCAGCAGCAGCAGCACCTGGGAGCTTAGTAAATGCAAATTCCTGGGGCCCATTCCAGACCTATTCAAAGACAAACTCTGTGCATCAGGTACAGCAATCTGTTTTAAGAAGCCTTGTGGATAAACTCTGATACATACTAATGTTTCAGAACCAGTGCTTTAAACTAAGACAGCCACACCTTAGTCTTGGTTTTCCTGGCATTTACAAAAACTACCAATGAGGCAATATAACAATCATGATGGTTGGCAACTGTTTTTTTTAACCTCTCTCTTTCTGTACTTCAGTTTCCTCATCTATAAAGTGAGGATTAACCAAAATAATGATCTTGCAGGGCTCAGAGTAATTAGCATGCCCAATACTTATGTTAACTATTATTCTGACTTTTTTCTCAATATTTTTAAAAATAGACATTGAGACCTTGTAACGTCAGTCCTTTAATAAGTCATACATTTTTACATGTGAAAGTGTTTTTTATGGTGTCAGCCAAGACGAATTTCCATAGACCAAGTGGTGACGTTGTTTAAGAGTTATTTTTTCAGGTACTACCAAAAAAAATATCTAGTAAAATAATCCAAACTAATATTATAAAAGTTTAACATTTTCACTGGGCTAAAATCTAACATATAGTTAAATAGTCATTATTAGGGTAAATCACAATTAAACCTTCCAAGTATCTATTTAAAAAATACTCAAAGATAACTTTCAATTAGTCTTCCATCCTTCAAAAAGACACCACCACAATAGAAATCAGGACTCTGCTAGTTTATATAGACATAAATGGTATAATTAAAAGGCGAAAACTATAACACTTTGATCTCATGAGCAAGTTGATATGCAACAGAAATTTGTGATTGGCTTTTTAAAACAGAGAATGACAGATTACCTCCTACTTTTAAGTCCTGCAGGTTGCCATTATACTGTGAACAGTGGAAGAAAAGTCTAGCTTGACGTTCTGAACACTGAATAAATCCGTAAGAGGTTAGGAGTTTTTCAATAACCCCCGTTTCACGCAGTGCTGCTGAAGTACCATTGGGGTACCCATTGTGTCCATTGTTGTGGAGAAGATTTGGATCAAAGCTCATCTGTTTTAAAAAGAAAAAGAACTCAATATATACAGATCTGTATTATCTCTACAACATACTAAATCTGATTATCACCAAATTTTTAATATAAAAAGGCAAAAAAAATAAAGGTAAAATAGGTGAAGAGAAGATTACAGGCTTTTATTTTTGAAATGTTAATTTAGATAGCAAAATATTTCAGAGGAAATAATTTGAATTATTTTAGGGAACTGTCCCAATTTATGGTAGAATATTCACTTACCAAAGAAACAGAATTTCTGGAGTTTAGTATTAAGGTAAAGCAACTACATACGTAAAAGCTGCCTTTACGTTAATTTTACATTACCAAAATAAAAGAATTCAGAACAAAGGTAACTAATATTCAAGGGATGGCAACCCAAACTATCAGGACACTTCCTTAACAAGTTTAACAATACCTATTTTGAAACTTAAATAGAAACTTTAATACTATTTGGTAAGCCATGCATCTCGAAGGCATTATTTAAGTTAGTAGAGATTAAAACAATAAACTTTCTATGCAACACTTATTTCAAACTAGAAAATATCAGAGTAACGCATGCTTAAGTCCTTTAATGGAAGACAAGCCAAAATAGTGAGAAGATGAACTCCAAGACAACAAAAGCTCTTCAAGTCTAAAAGTGTTCAATCAGTTCAGTTACATTTCAAGAAATCTTTTCACCTGTTTCAGACACTCATGAAATTTCTAAATACTGTCATTTTTTTCTATGATTAGAAAAAGCAGAAGAACACATTCTTTAGTGAAAAGAGGAGCTACTAAAATGTAATGCAATGGAACCTGTTTAGATCATCAAATACTGTCTATCACAATGGGTACTTCATTTTACCTTATTTGAATAAAACTATAGAAACAAATTATTTTATTAATTTAAGTGAAGCATAAAACAGGACAAAATCCATGGCAAAGGCTAGGTCTACAAGTGATTTACTACGGCAGCAACATATACATCTTTACAACTAGTTTTCACCTTTTCATGGAAAATTTGATTTATAAGCATTTTCATTTAAGTGTGGCAGGAATTATTAATAAAAATATGTCTCCTCAGAAAAAAAAATCACTAAAATTCTAGAAAGATCAACCCAAGTATAAGTAGTTAAACAGTGTCTGGGATGGCCAAATTATGCAAATCAAAGCCATCATATCTGTAGGCAGTTAAGTTCCAGTTCTTTCATGCCAGACATCATCCTTTGTTTGACACATATTAACTCATTTAATTTGTACCAAAGCCCACTAGAAAGTAATATCCCCATTCTATCAAAGAGGAAACAGACACAGAGGTTAAACGACTTGCCAAAGTCAAATGGTAGAGGATTCAAACTCAGAACGCACAGCTCTATAATCTGGGCTCTAAATTAGGGTTTCTCAAACGTAAGTTACCTGGCTATCTGGTTAAAATATGAAATCTGATTTAGTAGAGGCAGCTATTTGAGATTCTCCACTTCTAACAAGCTCGCAAGGCGATACCAATGCTTTTGATTCTTGCACATATTTTGAGTAGCAAGGCCCTGAACTATTAAACTTATCTTTCAAGATTCAAGGTGAAGGAAATGCTTAGAGAAGTTAGAAAGTGAGTTTGCAAGGTATTTCAACCAAAGTGAGTGGCCGTCCTAAGTCATGCTCTTAACACAAAGCAAAATAAGCTGGGATGACTGCTTCCCTGACTTACAGATCTCTGATACATGGGGGTCCTCTTTTGTTTTTTAGTCCCAGATGAGGTAGAAGATAAAGGTAAAGAAAGTGAAGGAGGGGGATGAGGATCTGATGACACAGTAAAAACGTTCTCCATCTCAAACAGCTGTGATAACATAGCACAATGTTTATAACTATGATCAAAAACAATTTAACACATTCGACAGTCAACCTGTACATCTCTACAGATTTATCATTAGGTTACCTTAGGAAAATATAATTCATTTAACCAGATTTCTACTGATGAAATAAATAAATTATAGCATTAACATTCAAAAGGTCAAACTGAAATGTATTTCTTAAAGCCCTTACACAATCCCTAATCCCTAATCCCTAGAATTTACAATTTTTAAAATGCCATAAGGACTCTCCGGTGGTTGCTACAGCGAGACAATTGTGCCCAATTTTCTCTCAATGTCCAACAACTTTACATAGAATCCAATATTCTCAATCACTTGTCTCCCTCAAGTACAGTACACACAAGATAATCCAATAGGGTATGGGAAGAAAATACTAAAAGTATATATATTTTTGTCCAGAGATAAAAACGAGCTTTTATAAATACTTATTATGTATATACAGGAGAGGCCTCACTGAGTTGGTATGTCACATCATCTCACATCACATACATCACTCAGGTATTCAGAGGGAAGAATGGAGAACTCCACGAGAGGTTGATGGTGAAGTCTTCACTCAATTCATTGGCTTTCAGCCTATTACAGTTCATACTTGCCTAATTAAGTGGACAAATTTAGCTATCTAGTTTAACTAAACTACCCTCACAAACAGACAAATGGTCGACAAAGATTCCTAAGAATCTTAAATAGAAGATAATGCTAATAAGGCAAGCACAGAGTATGAGAACTGATACTTCTAATCTTAGTTCTAGTTCTTTAACCTCCACATTATGAAATAAACAACCTTCTGAGATGTGACACGTCTGCCAAAATGTTAAGATCAAGACTGATACAGACCTATACTAGTAGCAATAAAACACAATACATGTACACTGTTCCTCAGATATTAATTTATGATAGTATAGTTTTTACATTAAACACTTATAACTAAGCAGGCAGACATATTTCTAGTGAGGGTGGAAGTTTCTGCACTGTTAACAGGTAAACCATTTTTATAATATTGCTTATTTCACCTTTGTCCTCTATTTGTAGCATATGTTTTACAATGCAAATACAGCTGTATAATCACACAATTTATATGTACATATATATACATATATGTATAATACAAACGTACATATTGACTATACACGCTCTTACTAACAGTACGATTAAATTAATTTGAATACCACTACTCTAGATCCCTGACATGTTAGGTCACGAGTTCCAAGTTGTGCTTCCTTTTTGTTTACGTTGTAGTTCTCATTATCATACAAATGAGAACACAATAATATGATCTGTAATACACAGGCCAAGTTGCGAAAACCACATTCTCAAGTCTCCAGTTCTACCACACATTCCTGCAAGTAGGGAGTAAAACTCCTGTTGCTCTAACCCTAAGGGAAAACGAACCAGAATAAGAAGGAATTAGAGCACTCACTTTCTTCTAAGATTCTAAACTGTTCTCTAACAAGGGTGCTGGAATTTAGGCTGTATTGCTCAAGTCTCATTTTACCTCTAATTGCACATCAAAATAGAATTGAAAAAGAGTGTTCCCCCTTCTCCTAGCATCTTTCCTGACTTACGTTTCTTTCTCTAACCTTTATCCATTTGGGGGCTTTTTTTTTTTTTAAAGGGAAAAACATAACACTCAAGCAACTTTAGATAAGACAGTATGTTAACATCTTTTCCTTCAAAGATTTCCTAACAATTTGGCTAAACTATATTTCCACCGCATTGTAAATTTTCCTTAACCAGCACCACCAAAATTTTAAAGAAGTATCATTAAACAAAACGAAGTTCATTAAAAATAAAAAACCCACAAAAACCAAGACCACCAATTACACAATAGTAGGAGTCCAATGGAAAAAGTAGATAGCTCAACAAGGGATGTTTATAAAAAAGGAAGATAAAGACAACACCAAAAAAAGGGGTGGAAGGTAATGACCAGTACGTAAATATTATTTGGCTTTTTTTAAATGGGGGGGCAGGGAATCAATTTAGTTGCTCACCTCACAACATACAAAAAATTCCAGATGAACTGTATTAAATGCCTTAACAAATATTAAATAAAAATGCATCTATTTATAACATTTCTGGAAGGGAGACTTTCTAGGTTTGAAAGCAACAGAGAAAACTGCAAAGGAAAGGATCAATCAATATTTGATTATATAAAAAGTACAAGCTTTTATACTCAAACCTAAGGAAAACAAATACAAATATAAATATATCAGTGTATTAAAGAATTTAAGCAGATCAGTAAGAATTAAACTACTAGAATATAAGCTCCTTGAGGGACTTTTTTTCCAAAGATAAATCCCCAGCATCTAGACACAACAGTGCTTGGCACGTAGTAGGCAGTCATTTGTTGAATTACCAAAAGACATGAAGACAAACAAATTAGTCTTAAAGTTCATTCATTAAACACAAAACATATGAAAAATTTCAATTTTGGCAATCAAAAATTTAGATAAAGTAAATTATTCATTTATCAAACCACCAAAGATAAAAGATTTAAAAACATTGAGAAAGTGGGCTAAGAACAATACGCTCGTACTTTTATGGCAGTGAGCCGGTGCAACCCTTCTGAAGTGCAGTTCAGCAACAGGTACCAGACGTGGAAGTACCGTCCTTATTAATTCCACTGCAGGAAACCTGTCCTGGGGAAATCTGAAATGTGAACAAGGCTTTACGCACAAATGTGTTCACTGAAATGTTTTAAGAACAAATTCCTAGGAACAATCTAAAGTCTAACACTGGTTCAAGAAGTCATAGTAACTTATATAAATGCCAAGCATTTATTAGAAACGATGTGTGAAAATGCTTAGGCTTAACATGAAATGACAAGTATAAGTCAAAAATAATAAAAAAAAAGATATTTATATAGTATGATTTCAACCGTATTTAAAAAAGGAAAGACGAGAGAAGTCTAATTTAATGCTCACAGATGAGCAAACACTTAGAAGATGTCTTAAGGGCAAGAGCTAAAATAAAATGGTAAATGGGAAGAGAACCCAGTACTGACTGCATGGCTCACACTCTTAACCACTGCAACTCACACTGTACCAGAACTTGAGGGCTTACAATGCTTCAGCACTGTTCTAGGTTCTACTCATACAGCAGTGAACACAACGGACAAAAATCCTCAATCTCATGAAGTTCAGACTTTTTTTAAATATTTATTTTAAAACTGAAAAGTCATTTAACAGTATTAATCCCCTTTTAAAAAAAGAATTGGAAAGAATCTCAGGTCAAATTTAAACTTCACTTTTAATTCAAGAAATCAACTAAAGTTTCCTGAAGAACAAAGAACTAGAACCAAGACTGGCTTTTAGTTCTAATTCTTATACTTCTAACTTCTTTTTCTTTTTTTGGTGAAGAAGATTGGCCCTGAGCTAACATGTGTGTCAGTATTCCTCTATTTTATGTGGGATGTCACCACAGAGTGGCTTGATGAGCAGTGCTAGGTCCGTGCCCAGGACCTGAACTGGTGAATCCCAGGCCACTGAAGTGGAGTGTGCAAACTTAATCATTACATCACCGGGCTGGCCCCTACTTCTAACTTCTATGGGATTGTTTCCTCAAAGGTAAAGATGGGGTGCAGAAATCAAGACTCTGTGCTTTGTAACTTTTTCTTGCGACATCTGAGTTTCCCCCCTCCTTGCCTTTTCCTAACCTAGTCTGCTTGGCTTCTACTGACAAAGGATTAGTTTAGAAAAGGCAGCCTATGTCACTGAAAGTTTTAAAAAATGACTTGTAGGGGCTGGCCCTGGGGCCTAGTAGTTAAGTTTTTGGTGTGCTCCATTCAGCAGCCCAGGGTTCAGCTCCTGGGTGTGGACCCACATCACTCACTGGCAGCCATGTTGTGGCAGCAACCCACATACAAAATAGAGGAAGACTGGCACAGAAGTCAGCTCATGGCGAAGGTTCCTCAAGCAAAAAAAAGAGGAAGATGGGCAAGAGATGTTAGCTCAGAGTGGATCTTCCCCAGCAAAAAAAGAGAGACTTGTATTCTTAATCTAAACATATCTTCCCTTAACTTCCATTGCTCCTTTCAGTTTTCTGAATGTGCAACCGTTTTTCATACACTGTCTTCTGGATGTGTTCTAAACAATTACTCATTAAAGTGCATTTTGCTACTATTCTTATTGTACCCTGAACAATATACAGAGAGTACTGAGTATCTTTTTTGGTTCTGTAGACTAAAATTTCAGTAATTTTGTATGATAACTAAAAAAAATCTCTAGATCATTAATTAGCAAAATCAGGTTTTCTTCTTTTAGTACTTCTGTAACTGATCATTTGTTCCTAAAGAAAAAACTAATCTAATGCTTTTAAATTTCCTTTGTTGGACAATCTGGAGTTCCAACTTATAGGGATAATTTTTAATTATTAGGCTTTGTAATTTATCTTTTAAGCATTCTTCTATGTCCTTAATACTTACCCCACAGGGTGGTTGGAATGGTTAGATTAACTGCTGCATATAAAAAGCCTAGAACAGGTCTTAGCATATAAGTACTCACATAACTACTTATTACTAGGTCCTCTCAAAAAGCAGGGCAAAGAAAGAATCTGACAGCACATATCTGGAAACTTCTCTGAAAATAAGCCCATTAGTCAATACCTTTTAATGTATTATTATCCAACTTACATTTCTCCATACTGACCATTATGCTATGAGATACTCTATCAAATATCCTTATTGAAAAGTCTTATTTTAAAAATCAATCAAGACATTTAAAGTTTCTGGTAATAGATCTCCATTAACTATCACCACATATATCTCCACGATATATCTTAATTTCAGCAAGTCTTCACCTAAACTTCCCTACTCCTATGAACTACAAAGGTTTCTAGCTTGGGCAATTGGAGAGACTAAGTCAATTCTCTCCAGGCTCATCTTCACATTTAATTGGTCACCAAGTCCTATCACTTCTACCATTAAAACATCTAGTGTCTACCTCTTTCTCTGCCTACACCCTAGCTTTTATCTTCCTTGTGTTCTACTCATTGCTCTTATCAGCTCTTCCCATTCTCACCCTCTCTCTTAAAAGTGGTACCATTTCTCTTTTAAAGATATCCTTATGAATATATAACTATAAAAACCAAATAAAGTGATCTCAGCTTTGAAATACAAAATCCATTAAGCCCTTCCTTATAAACATCTGATGACTTTCCTATAGAATAAATTCAAATACAGTGGGCCCTTCCAATCTGCCTCCAGCAAGCGTCCGTTTCCAGTTACTCACTCTACCCTATGAAACTCTTCTTCACTGTTTGTAATGGACTACTCAATATATACCACATGCTTTCAGATCTCCTTGAATCTACTCATCCTGTTACCTCTATACCTCTACCAGAAGACTCTTCTCCCTCTTAACAAAGTACTACTCACCTTCAAATGTTCCTTCTCTGTAGGTTTTCTTTACCCTAGGTTAGAAAGATGGCAAAGGGCAATCCTACCTGAAACTCTAACTTCTAAGTAGTACTGATAGAGCTTTTCTTTCTAAAAGACCAATACATCAAGAGATCTGCATGTATTAATAAGTATAATCTTGTGTGAAAAATCCCATGGTTTTGGCCATAAATACTGTCCTTGTCTAATAAGAGACAACTAATTAAATAGTCTAGTGTTGATATTTTCAGACTAAATAGCTGAGACTATAAATTGTTTTGAGAATAACTTCAGAAGAGAACAGATTAAGAAGATTTTACATTTGACCAAATAACTAGGAAATCCAGAATTATAAACTGATTCTTGCCAATACGAAACTACAAACCTACCTCGCAGTGATAATCAAATATTGCACTTTCAGTAGTATTTGCTGATTCTTCTTTTCCAGCACACGTTTCAAAGGATGAAAGTTGCTAGTATTAAAAAAAAGAGCGAGAGAAAATGATCTATCAAGCTAATAAAGAATACAACTGCTGCTGCACCGGGCAATCTCACAGTACAGCACTGAAGAAAACAAAGACTACTAGCAGCGTTGGGAAGTGCTCTTTCAAAGCTGTTGAGTAGGCACAAACTTCTTGTTTCAGATCAAGTGTTGTGTCTTCAACTTAAGTGTACTCTTCTTTGGTCTTGTTGGTTGTTTCAAGGTTTGTTCTTTGCCTGATCTGAACTTGAAGCAGCAGTTTCAGGTGGTAAAGTCTGTTCTGTTACACTTCATACTAGAGATAAAAAATGAAGACATTAAGTATAACTTACATAAAAGAATCAGGGACAGAGGATGGACAGAGGGACAACCCATTTGATTAACTCAGAATCACTGGTCAAGTATGTAATGCAGGAAACTTGGAAGCACATGCATTTGACGTTATTTGAGCAATCTCTCAAGTGCTAATGGATACCTCCTTTAGTATCACACTCAAAACTGGAAATTATTTCACAGTCCTTATTGACACCCCTCCCCAAATAAGGTATAAGTTACACAGCATAATATTGAATTTAGAACAAGCATTTTATAAACACCTAGCACTGTGTTAGGTATTGTGAAAAATAAAAAGTTCCTGCCATCAGGGAGTTTACACTCTTACTGAGAAGACAAGAGTTATAAACGAAGAAAAACCAGAATATAGGACAAAACGCCAAAAATTAATTTGCTCAACTAATATCTGGGTACCTAATATGTCACATACTATACTAGAAATACTCATTATTTATTCTCCACTGTATGTTCATCAGAGCAACACTATGAGCATAGTCAGAGAAGGCTGTTAATTAGAGGTGGAATTTGAGCTTAATTTGGAGAAATAGGCAGATTTTTAAGAGAAAGAAAACAGTTGAGTATTCTAGGCATAAAGTATTACATGTATCAAGCCAGAGTATGCCACTAAATTCTAAGTTCATTGAGAGCCGGGACCTGTATGTGATTTTCTATGCCTAGCATCAACAGAGGTTTATTACATGAATGACCATGGCAACAAGTTGCTTCCTCTGAAACAACAGGCCAGCCTGGCTAAAAGAGAGGGCTGGGTTAAAGTGAAATGGGATATGTGGTGTGACAGGTGTACTGGAGCCAGATTATGAAGCATTTCAACTTGATGTAACAGGAAACAGAGAGCCTTAGTTCTTGATGAAAGGGTATTAAGTTTTGAAATCCTATGGGAGATGACTTAGTGAAGGAAACAGAGGAATCTCATTTGAGCTGTTGCCATAAACAGACGAGAAATGTCTATAAAGAGAAACAAGAGATAGGAAAAAAAAGAAATAAATTTATAAATAAAACCACAGAATTGTGCTTTATGCTAGCTATAAAAATGATTATTTCGCACTGACTCAAACGTTAACTAAAATGATTTATATGGGGAGAAGAAAAAGGTGGATTTGGTTTTAGATACGCCAAGAGATTAATAGTATACTTGAAAAACATCAGAAATAAGAATGACTATAAGGTGAGAGGTCAGAGCTGGTGAAACAGCTTAGACTAGGAGAACTCAATTCTAATTACTGATACTAGTAAAATGCCACAAACAAGTTTTTTAAACTCTGTTTCAGTTTCTCACATGCAAAATGAAAACTCAGTAATAGCTGATCTGTGGTCATTTTTTGTAGCCATACCTAACATTCCATGGCTTTATGTCGTTTCTTCAAATACCAAAAGTTACATATGTCCAATCTTTCAATTTTATTTGGATCATTTTCCTATTACCCAGACTAGATACATCTTTGAGCAACGGTTCTCAAAGCACTTGGGAAGCTTTAAAAAACACCGATGCCCAGTACCCACTCAAAGAGTAATTTAATTGGCTTGAAGTAGCACCACTGTTGTAAAGACCTTTGATTCCTCCTTCTCCACCTCCACACCCAATGTTGGAAGTCTTATCAATATTTCCTTCAAGATAGTTTTTTGTGTTCATTTTTTGTCCTAAATGACATATTCTGGTCCAGGTGTCTAACACATCTGCTAACTTCCAGTGTCAACCCTTTCCACTTTCTGCCACATAATACTGCCAGACTGATCTAAAACTCCAATTTCATCTCATTTTCTTGTTCAAAATCTTCAGTGATTTTTCCAGCAGGCTAGATGGGAAGTTCTTAATCCTGCCTGCACATCCAAGTCAAACACCTAGGCAACTTATAAAACAAAAAAACAGGGTCATCCCCATGGCATAGTGGTTAAGTTCGGCACACTCCACTTCAGCAGCCCAGGTTCACAGGTTTGGATCCCAGGAGCAGAGCTACACCACTTGTCAGCCATGCTGCAGTGGCGACCAAGATATAAAAGTGGAGGACGACTGACAGATGTTAGCTCAGGGCTAATCTTCCTTAAGCAAAAAAAACCCCAAAAAACCACAAAGCCTGGATCCCACCCTAAGATACTCATTTAACCTCACCAGGTTAGGTCCCAGGTGTTGGTATATTTTCTCTATACCCTCCTCCCCCAAGGTGTTTCTGACTTGCAGACAGGGTTTAAAATCCACCATTCAAGGTGTGTCTCTCCCCATCTTTACCCTCTACTGCTCTCCAGCTCTTCTCCTCCATAGGTGCATTTTCCTCCTTAATCCATAAACAGAACTCTTGGGAGATTCCTGAATTCTAGTCTTCTTTGTGTTTATGGGTGTTCCAACAAAGAATATAATTTTGCCTTCTTCAAGGTGGAAGAAAAGTCTGTCTTGACCATTCCAGCACAGGCTTATTACCTTAATTCCCACCACATGAGGCAGTTAACTTCCACTGCCTGCATGGTTCTTTTTGGTATCAAATCATTTCTGCACTTTGCTTACTTCATGTTTATACATCTTGTTCCTCCAACTATATTTCAAATTTCTGAGAGACAAACTCAAGTTCTTTCTCACAGCCCCCTTTAGTGCCTAATCCAGTACTACTAAACTTAACCAAAGTAGAAACTAATACAGCAAAAAGGTAATTTAATCCATAATAGGTAAAAGACATCACAATTCAAGTGTAGACAGTTCTACCAACTTGTAAAAATTTTGTTTTGGTTAATTAAATAAAGTCTTAATTATCCAATCAAGAAATAATCTCGGGCCAGCCTGGTGGCGCAGCAGTTAAGTACGCACGTTCCCCTTCAGATCCTGGGTGCGGACCTGGCACCGCTTGGCACACTAGACTGCGGTAGGCATCCCACATATAAAGTAGAGGAAGATGGGCATGGATGTTAGCTCAGGGCCAGGCTTCCTCAGCAAAAAAAGAAGGACTAGCAGTAGTTAGCTCAGGGGTAATCTTCCTCAAAAAAAAAAAAAAGAAAGAAAAGAAAAGAAAAGATGTGGGTCTTGAGTATCAGATCCAGGTTTAATTGTGGGGGCTGGCCCGGTGGCGCAGTGGTTAAGTGTGCATGTTCCACTTTTCGGCGGCCCAGGGTTCGCCAGTTCAGATCCTGGGTGCAGACATGGCACTGCTTGGCACACCATGCTGTGGTAGGCGTCCCACATATAAAGTAGAGGAAGATGGGCACGGATGTTAGCTCAGGGCCAAGCTTTCTCAGCAATAAAGAGGAGGACTGGCAGTAGTTAGCTCAGGGCTGATCTTCCTCAAAAAAAAAAAAAAAAAAAAAAAAGAATGAATCTCTTCTTTTAAAAACAGACTCAGTACACTGGTTTAACTTTAATATCTTAGGTCTATTTATGAACCAAAAGACCTCAAAACTGCTATCTGATAAAATAGGTGAGAATTTCATTAAACTGTTAAGGACAAGGTTGTTTGTATTATTGGTGGTGTGGGGGAGAGGAATCAAGAAAAACAACTTATCTTGAAAAACCTGAACTGGATTAAACCAGTCTAGGGTGTTGTATTATGTTAAGAACTGTCAGGTTTGTCACTTAGTAACACAGAAATAAGAGACTTCCAGAATCAAAAATCTGGAACATTGCAGGGCCAATCTCGGGCAATAATGAAGCCTATTAGGATCTATTAAAGCTCAAACAAACCCACCAACTATCATGAATAATTGACAGTGCTGAATTTCATTTCATTAGTATCTTTACCGCTTCAAGATTTCTATGGTTAACTAAATGTTTTTCAATCAATTCAACACTCAATGAATCACCTTAGAGGTACCCATTGGGTATTTTAATAAAATTGGCTATCCACTCAAGCCAAGATTAGTAACATTCATAGGTGGTATTGACAACTTCTTTTGCCTTAACCCTCTGGTAAGTGCATCCCCTCCATCCTCCCAAAAGCTAGATACATCTAAAGTCACATGAAATACCGTGTACCAATCAAAAAAACTAAGAACAACTTAAATGTGGATCTGAGTCTCCCTGATTGCTAAGTAATCAATTCCTTTTTCCTTTGCTATGTGTGAAAACAGTATCACCATTAGTTAATTATCAACTATTATGTCATACTGTTTTAGGAGTTAAAGTTAATTCCTTTACTTGAACTGATATCCAAAGTTATTCCTTATTTCACCTGTCTCAAAATTATCATCACCTGTTTTATTTACGGTCTTCCCCCAGTTTGCTTACCAGAAGCCAGGCACAAGTAGGCACTAAATTAATACTACGTGTTGAACTAACATTTATGTGGTCAGTAATCCACTTAAAATATATCACATAACCCAGTTTATCATTCTGATAAATTATTCTCAAAGTGTGTACAGCACTGACTTGGGGAGATGTTAACGAAAAGCTAAACCAGTCTACAAAAGTCTCCCCACCTAACCTACTTTCTTCAGAGTACCTTCTTCCTTTGAGAAGAGCAAAGACCCAAATAGGCAGCATGGAACTGAAAAGCTTCTCTCTCTACTGTTGATTTCTATGAATAATACCCTTGCCTTAACTTCCCAGTTCATATTTCTTGATGCATTAACTCAAGGCATGTTTAGGTATATCCTATTTTGCTATAACCTATCTAACTGAAGTGCTTAACAGGTTTTAATTCACTTTTACTCCAGAATATAAGGAAAATGATAAAGTTTAGATAATTAACCCAATTTAAAACAATTTAAGTCATTGCCATCTTGAGAGGAAATAAAAGAAAAGCAAACTGCTGCAACTATCTTTTTGTATATATTTAGTAATAACAATTGTGCTGGGTTAACTACCTGAACAGCTACTAAGATATTTAAAATTATATATCCATCTATCACTTAACTGCTTTTACACACAATAATACTTTGAAATAGGACAAATGCCAGTGTGGGAAGAAGCTGAAGAAATGCTCCAGGAACAAACTCAGAGAATAGTATAGACCAGCACCATCCAGCAGAAACACAGCACAAGCCACATACGTAATTTACAATTTTCTAGCAAAGTCAAAAGAAACAGGTGAAACTCATTTTAATTATCTTATTTAACCAAATATATCCAAAATGTTGTCATTTTCCATATGTAATCAATCTAAAAAAATTGAGTTTTTTTACATTCCTTGAAATTCAATGTTTATCTTACAATTATAGCACATTTCAACTCAGAATTGTGCACAAAGTTCACAACAGCCATACATGGCTAGTGGCTACCATATCGGTTGGAGCAGGTACAGGCTGATGAGGGAAAAAAGCATTGGGATGCTCAATAAAGCAATAGTAAACGTAAGGTCCTTGGGCAAAGACTTTCACTGATAAAAGGAGGTAGTATCTAGCTCACTTGACCATAGCAGGAGCTTGTACTTATTATATTTGAGAAGCAGAAGAGCAAATAACTAACTGGTTATGTATATTGGCTGTAGCTGCTAGCCTGTATGTTCAATGTGAAGAAACTGCTGTGAATTTACTTTCAACTGCACACTGTTTTACCTCAGCATAAAAGAACCTATTAAATATAAAAATGCTCCAAAAATAAAACTACCATTCAATACGTCTGAACAAAATACTGCCTAGAATATCTTATTTAGTTTAACACTTTAATGAAAAATGTAGCACAACAGAAATGTCTAAGAATTCCTAAGGCTTGGCAGTATGAACCGAAATAAGTTTTGTTTTTTGTTTTTTGTTTTTTTTTTGAGGAAGATTAGCCCTGAGCTAACTACTGCCAATCCTCTTTTTTCTGAGGAAGCCTGGCCCTGAGCTAACATCCATGCCCATCTTTCTCTACTTTATACATGAGACGCCTACCACAGCATGGCATGCCAAGCGGTGCCATGTCCGCAGCCGGGATCCGAACTAGCGAACCCCAGGCCTTCGAAGTGGAATGTGTGAACTTAACTGCTGCGCCACCGGGCTGGGTCCTGAAATAAGTTTTGTATTGTTTTCTTTTTTAACTAGGTACTCACACATGAAAGTGGGAAACATTCTAATATCAAGCCAAAGGAATTTTTAAAATCCTGATTTGGCAGAAGGGATTTAACAGCAAGAAATGATGGGACTCAAGAAAGCAAGTCACTCCTACCACAGCAGTTTCACCAATGAAGACATTCCAGCTATTAAGTCTTAAAAAATAGTTACAATTGTTCTTACTCTAATTCTCTATTAATCCTACAAGATTTACAGCTCTCCATAAGACAGTCTGGGTCAAAGATCTTAAAATAGTCTCCCCTTGGTTTTTTGAAAAGACAAACCTATGAAGGCAAATTCCTTGCGTTTATTTAACAAGATCTCAAGATTTTTAATTTATTTACAGTCCTAAAATTCAACTCCTTGAAAAATCTGTCCAAAGCATTTCCCTGTTTCAACTACCTTGTCAAGAGTATAGTCTTCACAACAATGTGAACGAACTTAATGCCGCAGAATGGTACACTTAAAAGATTAAAATGGTAAATTTTATGTACCATCATTTAAAAGAAAATATTTCTTTAAATGTTGGACGGCCCTGCACAGTGTGTCTTCAGATGGAGGCAGGGGAACAGGAGTGGAATAAAGCAGGACTACGTGTCAGCTTTCACACTCTCATTTTTGATTTGCTAGAAATTTACCAGAATTTTCAACAACACTCTAAAGGTCATACCTGTTAAGTCAGAACTTATTTACAAAAAAGAAAACCTATCTTCTGTGCCTCAAATACTTTACTTTTCAACTCAGCTGCTATAAATACTCATCTCGATGGTAAACATCCAGAGCAGCTGCAAAATCACTCAAACCACTATCATCTCTTTTATTTCGGGCCTAGGGCTAAAAGGAAACAAAAAGAAACAAGGTTGAAATATTTATCTAGATTTTATGACTCAAGCATATGCCTATTCAAAGTATGTATATAAAGCCCCTCCTTACCCACACCAAGAATACCTGTTACTGGTGAGTACCAAAAGGACACCAAGGTATTATTATACTGCCCCTCAATGTAGTCAATTAGCATTGCGAACGCTTGCCTTCAAGAAACTCAAAATGAAAATTACTCAGCGTTTTGATAAAGAATAACTTATATCAGTGGGCTATAATTTGATACCTACATTTTACAGATTGGTAGCTCCAGCTGAGAGTTGCCAGTTCATACCATCCTGACAAAAAACGAAGTCTCTCAAAGGAAACAGATTTAACTACCACAGTGCTTTTCAGTGTCCTCCCTCCCTCTCCACCCAGTCTCTCAACTGTTTTAAAGAGGATCACTCATTCTAGGTGCGAAACAAGGAAATTACGTCGCACAACAACGTTCAGATTTTTGTGTTTGCAGATTGAAGGCTGTTTTAGGGAGCGTTCCCTGCCTCGCTTGTGACTCAAAAGAGGAGCCGTCTGGGTGTTTCTAAACAAAAATCTTAAAGTAAAAGAACCGTGGTACTAAGATTTCGTACTGATAAAACATCGGATGGTAAAAACCTCGACAGTGTCTCGGACCAGGGCTCTAAAAAACTAACTACAGAGAATGACGAAGCCAAGCCGTTCATTGCACAATGTGGGCCAGGCTCTTGCACCACAAGAGCCAGAAAAGGCAGTAAGGAGGACTTCACTGAGCTCTCACAAAGCACGCCGTAACCCCAGGACAGAGGAGTGAAAGCTACATGCCTAAGATTAGGGGCTGGTTCCCTTTCTCAAAAAGCCGAAGGGGAGGCGAAAAAAGGGAAGGTTGGATGCAGACACCCAAGACAGACAGCTTTAGGTGAGTGGAAGTAAGGATGACAATTCAGCCGCGCTGTCCCAGATGTGGCCGGGGAAAGGAGGTGTCTCTAAGCACTTAGACGGAGCGGGGTCTCAGTCTATACACAAAGGAGGCGCCACTGCCGCACTGCGCTCTGGTACTCGTAGTCACATCCCCAAGCAGGTGACGGCCAGGAAACCATAGCGCCCAGAGTCAGAGCAGGCCCCTCTCCTGTGCCTCCGGCTCTTCCATCCTCACACAAAGGACCGCGCCACCACCCCCTCGCCCCGCCCGCCGGGACTTGTAGTTCCCGTTTCCCCCGCCAAGCCGCAGCGGAGGAAGTGGCCAGACTACGACTCCCAGCAGCCTCGGCGCCTGAGCCCCGCACCCCTGCCTCCATCTTGGCTGCGGTCGGAGCCTCCATTTTCGCTCCCTCCCCCCACTTAGTCACTACCACCACCACGACGCGCGACCGCCTGCCTCGACTCTTCGCTTCGGCTCTGCGGCCGGACGTGAGGCCTAGGCAGTTGAACGGGGGCCCGGTGGAAAAGCCCGGGGTAGGGACTTAGGGTGGGATCTTCCCTACCCGAAGCTCTAGGAGTGCCCACCCTGACTCAGAAGTCTCTCCTGTTAGTCTTGCTCTTCTCACCCGTCCTTAGCCTGGCTTCTTGCTACCCTCAACTGGACCCTGAGGTCGTACTCACCCCAACAGCTCAGCGCCCCCTCTCCAGCGCCGCCATAAGCAGCACGGCCCGGTACGTAGGAATAAATCTCGCTTCTCTCGCGAGAGTTGCGGGCTCCAAGCGCGTGCACAGGAAGGGGGGGCGGGGTACTTCTAATACGCTTGCGCAGGAGGGCTGAGTGACGCCAATCAGGGCTCTGCGCTTAACCACAACCAGGATGGTGGATGCGTTTCTCTACTTTCCCTCCCCCGTGAGCTGTGGGCAGCAATCTCGGTGTTTACTGTCTCCGCTGGGACGAAAGGGGCGGGGTGGCGGGTGACTTTAGGCGTCTCTGATCTTTGCAAACCTGGGTATGCTTTAAGCAGCAAGACCAGGGTGACTCTTGAGGGCGAACAATTTGGAGGGCATATCTAGGAATGTCATAGAAAGGATTTCTCTTTTCCCAGGGATAATCCAGAAACCCCCAAATCCCAGTTTCTCACTCACAGCTCAAGCCTTCTTTCTCTGGTCTGCTCCATTAGACTGGAATTTTCATTAGTATAGAGTCAGGTTTTTAGCAAGATAATTTGGAAGTTTAAGTGTGTGCTCCCAGAAACTATATTGCTTGCAACAGACGGACAAGAATGAGCGAGGCAGCATAATCATTTTTAAAAAACCCCCCAAAACAAAAGAACTCCTTCAGCTGACCTTTGTAGTTACCAGAAGCTATTCATAATGTATCAGGTAATCAAAGAGGCTGAATCAGTAACCAAAAGATTGAAATCAGGGCAAATGGATGATTCATCCAGGGAAAATGGTTAATTCTGGCCACAGAAAAGTTCAATGAATTATCCGTTGCCAAACAATAGAGTAGTCCCCTCTGGTGAGAGGAATGCTTTTCTCACATTCTGTGCCTCTCTTACTTGACAGTATTGGGTACGTAATGACCAGTCATGCTCCTGAGAACTTTCCCACCTACTTCATTTTCACTTTCAACACATTTATTCAGCATGTCATGTCATGGCTGGGGTGTTACACAGTGGTTAAGACAAACAGACATGGTTCTGTCCTCAAGGAACTTTCAGTCTAGCATCACTCAATGATCACAAAAACAAATCTAAACAGACACACTGAAATAAGTGCAATGAAGGAAAAGTGCACAGTGTTAAGAAAGTATCTAATATCCAATTCTGAGCAAATCATCTTGAATTCTCAGAGGAGGCAGTATCCTACTTCTGATGTTGCAAGATTTTCTCTCCACCTCTGTTGCTGTTTGGTCCAGTCCCATACCACCTCCAAGCTGCCTCTTTGTTCTCTTTGATGCCTTCCCACACTTTCCTAGGCACAGATATTTGCTTCACTTTCAATGCTTTCATAGATCATTCTCTTGTCATTATTAGTTTATACTAGCTGGTGATACTTTAGGACAGGGCCTGTGACATTCATCTTTGCATCCTGGTTCCAGACAGTGCCTGGCATACACAACTCTCAAAAGCTTGTTGAATGAATAGCACTGAACAACAGTCTAAGAAATTGTTAGAAATTGGAATGTTCTATTGGAGAAGTACAGAATGTAAACATATCAAACCAACTGTTTTGTTTCCTTTGTCCAATTCTTAAATTGAGATCTCTCCTTCCCAGCAATAGATCTAGTCTGGATATTCTAATCTAATGTTACAGAGAAACTGCCCTGCGCTCTTGCACTAGAAACAAGGTCATGTGAAGCTGGGCTAAAAGTAGAATTAGGTCTAAGAGCACACATTCTCAAATATCACAGCAATGGGAAATGTAAGAAATAATAGTCTCACTAAATTCTATAAATATAATTTCCTATTAATAAGAAAGAATAGTCTCGATTTCTACCATTACACATAGCTTCTAAAGACCTTCTTAAATCATATAACCATTTCATCATCCTCATTCTGAATGTCTCAATTGCCTTTAAATTCCTCCTTAATCCATAATTATCAATTTACATTAGCACAAAATGCGACTGTGTATAAACCCAGAAGCATATGATATAGCTTCCAATGCATTAGAGAAAGTGAAAGATGGAGTAATTTGATTTAAATCACTAGTTTGAATGCTTTATTCTTTTTACAAGTACTTGTAATTAGAGGTAGCTTTCATTTGAAGAAGATCACTACATTTTAAGGCGATAATCTTTTTCAGGTTAATTTTAGAGACAAATCAAAAAATATAGTTATCTTTTTATGTTTATTTTTTAAAGTGAAATTAATTAAAGCAGTAACTATGAAGTCACTTGGAAAACCATCTCCTATACAACAGGGTAGTCATGGACTTTGGGAAGATATTTAATCTATTAAGGAATAACCAACAGAACAAAAAAATTGTATATATTATTTTTGGTTATTTCTCATACTGATTTTTCTTCTCTGAGAAACTTAAATAGACAATGAAACTGATTATAGTTGTGGGTTTTTTCCTCTACAATTATCAGTGAGCATATTTCTCTGGAGTCTGAGAATAAAAAGTAAGCATCCTTCACACATTTATAGGGTTTTCCTGAGCAGTGGTGTATGAGATTTTTGTTAGTTCTCTGTGAAATGAGAAAAATTAGGTCAATGTAGAGATTTAAAAATAAGGCTAAATTTACTCAAGATTTTAAGGACTGTTTTTATTCTGATATTATGTCTTTCCTACTTAGGGAGTTAAGGAGCACTTCTTTTATAAAATTATGGTAATAGTGGATGTTAAAGGGATCCACATTCAAGATTTCAGGACAGGAAAACACAATTTAGAGCAAAACTTTCATAAAGAATAATTGTTTCCATAAGAATGTAAAATATTAAGATTTAATTCTGGGGGCTGGCCCCGTGGTCGAGTGGGTAAGTTTGCGCGCTCCGCTGCAGGTGGCCCAGTGTTTCGTTGGTTCGAATCCTGGGCGCAGACATGGCACTGCTCATCAAACCACGCTGAGGTAGCGTCCCACATGCCACAGCTAGAAAGACCCACAACGAAGAATAAACAACTATGTACTGGGGGGCTTTGGAGAGAAAAAGGGAAAAAAATAAAATCTTAAAAAAAAAAAAAGATTTAATTCTGGACCCCTACAATCTAAAACTGTTATTTATTACAAGCCCCTAAACAGTTAAAATGCATTATATAAATAAGAATAATATAATAAAAATAACAATTATGTAATCAAATATTATAATTTAAATAAGAATAACGCAAAAGCTTTGCATAAATACTTTCCTTTAAAATGTCAACATTGCACTTACTGAAATGCTAAGAAATCACTATAACATTTTAGCTTTATGAATCAGTTAGCCAGAGGGAAGGGTGGAGCAAAATAATATTTTAATAAACTTAAATTAGATCTCAATGCAAATCAATTGCACTTAGAATGAAATCCAAACTCTTTTACCATGACTGACATGGCCCTAAATGACCTAGTCCTTACTAAGTCCTTAACCCCTGGTTCCCTGTGATTCAGTTCCACTGCCCTTTTGGATCCTCTACCATGGCAGGTTTGTTCCTACTTCAGAACCCTTGCATTTATTGTTGCCTCTGCCTGAAATGCTCTTTCCCCAAATCATGACATATTTGGCACTTTCTCCTCATTCAGGTTTCGGCTCAAATGCTACTGCCTCACAAAGATCTTTTCTAAAGTAAAAGAACCACTATCACCATCACTCTCTATAATATTAGCTTGTTTCATTGTCTTCACAACATGTGTTGCTATCCAACATGAACACATTTATGAATTTAATTGTTTATTGCCCTTCTTCCTGAACAATAGTGTCAGCTTCGGTTCTCTGTTGGTTCATCATTGTATCCCGTAAACCTAGGACAGTGACTGATATAACAATAAATACTTAATATTCATTGAACAAATGAATTCCACTCATTTAATTAAATCTAAGGCAGTACTGATTGTATGATACATCATTATTTATGCACCAGCAAGACGAAAATATGTTGCCATTTTCACTATGACATAATACTTTGATTACTTAGCATTTTAATTTTATATTTATTAAAAGAAGCTCTTTTAAACTTATTTAGATCTAGTTGTTTTTTTATCATGTGTCACTCTCATGTGTCTATAAAGTAAAAAAGTAAGCAAAGCAAGAAAATAAGCAAGGTAAAAAAATAAGCAAAGTAAATTGGTTAAGGTATTCCTAAAACTTCTTCACAAAGTCCAACTCCTCTGAATCTCTTTTTTTTGTTGTTTTTTTAAGCTTGGCACCTGAGCTAATAACTGTTGCCAATCTTTTTTTTTTTTCCTGCTTATTTCTTCCCAAGTCCCCCCAGTACATAGTTGTATATTTTAGTTGTGGGTCCTTCTAGCTGTGGCACGTGGCCTCATGAGTGGTGCCACATCCGCACTCAGGATCCGAACTGGCGAAACCCTGGGCCGCCGAAGCGGAGCATGTGAACTTAACCACTCTGCCACGGGGCCGGCCCCTGAATCTCTTTCTTTTTGGTAAGAAATTTGACCATATTTAAAAAATTCCATTCAACAAGAGGCAGCACAAAAAAAATTAAAAATCAACAGACTAGGAGAATATATATTTGCAGCATATAAAACTGACAATGTATTAGTATCATGTATACATACTAAATTAATACATAAGAAAAAGTCAAAAGGGAAATGGGGAGAACAACTTGAAGGTCTATATTAAATAAAAACCTGTACAGGCAAACATTTGAAATTATGCTTAGCCTCATCACTAATCAGGAGAATGCATATTTGTCTTGAGATAATTTTAGATTTACAAAAGAATTAGAAAAATAGTATAGAAAGTTCCCATAAACCCTTCACTCAGTTTCCCATTGTGTTAGTCTTACCTAACCACAGAACAATTTTCAAAACTAGGAAATTAACATTGACACAATAGTATTAACTAAATTACTAAATTAATTTGGGTTTCACCAGTTTTTTTCTCTAGTATCCATTTTCTCTTGCAGAATCAAATCCAGGATCCCACACTGTATTTAGTTGTTATGTCTCCTTAGTCTCCTTCATTCTATGACAGTTCCTCAGTTTCTCCTTGTCTTTCATGACCTGGTCACTTTGGAACAGTATTGGTCAGTTATTTTGTTAACATCCCTCAATTTGATTTTGTTTGATGTTTCCCTTGCTTAAAGCTATGCATTATTTGGAAGAATATGACAGAAGTGATGTACCCTTCTCATTGCATCATATCAGGGGG